GATCCGGTGGCCATTGATGACCGCCATAGGGGGCGCGCCGGCGGCTATCCTTGTACACAGGGGCGTGGGAACCGCAGTGCCTCTGCGCTGTTCATGGTGAGAGTAATCATGCACCATTGCACTGGTACGTGGTGCCACCCTAAAAGTTTTTCCTGTGTTTGCCGTTTTTAGCAATGAATAAGGTGGCCACATGCCTGTTCCATGCCTGGCGCACACGACCAAACAGGGCGAACAATTTCTGCTCTTTTTTAAGAATCTACGGATTTTGGATAGACTGCCAACTAATGTTGTCTCAGGTCACACAATGCTGCGGCAAGCAGACAAATACGAATAGTTGGCTCGTGTAATGTCCCAGCATGACCGTTACGTCGTTTAATGTTTAAATCTAACCAGCAACTTACGATTATTTGGTTATTTTGTATAAGTATTATTTTGGTTATTTATTCATTGGTGTTATTTTGGTTATTTATTTATTAGTATTATTTTGCTTAGTTATTTATTAGCATTATTTTGTTATTCACCATTATTATTATTTTTGTTATTTTGGTTATGTTGAATTATTTTGCGATTGTTTATTTTGGAGTGGAACACATATGTTTTGCAGATATATTTTTGGAATTAATTTCCATTGGCATGTTGCGCCATCTAATGTGCCTGTATAAAACCGAGTGACATTATTGGCTACATTTTTAAAATCTTCAATGACTTATTGAATTCTGCCGTTGCTATCGGCGAGCTCCTCTGTGAGTTACTTGAGGATCAAACTTTCTCCCTTCTTTAACCAGTACCCGTCTCCTAATGCTGAGAAACTACGTCAACATATTTGTGTATAGGTGAGGCCGGGCGCATCTTAAAGCCGCGGGTTCGAAATCTGCCAGGTTATAGGAAATGCGCCAAATGTGGTCTCGGTCACAATAATGATCTCAATGGATCAGATCAATAAGCGTGAGAGGCAGTCACTGCGCATGAATCGAGGAAGTGCACTTAATATACACAGGCTACTAATCTACATAGTTAATGTGCACAGGCCACTAATCTATACAGTTAACTTTGAGTATATCCAGAGCATGCCAAAGCTGGTCAAAAGCTTTAGATAGCAGTGGGCTGTATCAAACTTTGGCAGCCACCAATTAGTCTAGCCTGTCGGCAGAAACGGCTGCCACATTCGCCGGAAGTAACGCGGCAAGCCTTCAACACTGCTGATAGTCGACAGAGTGTATCTGATTCGCCGAGGCACAGGTCACTAGGTTTGTGCGGCCTTCAAACAGCTCGAATCATGTATTGTCTTTGAAAGGAGGCATTACAAGCTCTCGTACAGCATATAAATAGCAGTGAAAGCAAGCAAAATCATAAAGGCTCGAAATGATTGTTGAAAAGCTATGTGGTAGTGAGCAATAATAAACATTGCTAGGAAACGCACAAAATAATCTACAATATTGCTGCAAAAGGCTTTGTAATGTTGCCAAGCACGCTAGACTTTGGGCGTTTATCTTTGTAGTTACGAAAAGGAAGGTTTACTTTAAATTGGACGTAGATGTTTTTTTAACATTTCTGGTGCCCCATCGAGACGATTCCTTGTTGGATGCACGCCAGTACACAGCTAGTTACACGCACACCATGCACGCGACGGGGATTTCCGTTTTTCGGAGCCCTTTTGAAGCAATCTTGACCTGACGCTTGCATCCAGGCTACCCAGGTGACACTTGATCAAACGAAGCATCCCTCAGGCATCTCGATCCGTTGGCCGAGGTAAATCAGAGAACTGCCCCGGTGACGTGAAGCGGGGCCGAACCCTTGGGCAATGACGCCCGATCAAAGAGTCGATTTAAAGGGAGACCACTGCTAACGAACCACCGCCGCGAGCACTGGTCGGCACATCGCTAATTTCGCGGCAGGGCGGTCATTCCCCAGTTGTCACCCCCTCCCCATTCCCCACTCCGCTGGGTACGGGCCGGTCGAGGAAAACTTTTCCGAAGTCAGGCTTAAACCAAAACCTTCCACCTTCCTTGCCACGCGCCTTAACGCCGATGTCACCGAGTCGGTTCAGGCGTGGGTGGTGCGGTTGCGTACATGTACGTATTATATTTACGTATATTACGTATATGTGCGCAGCAGTGGTACACGCAAGCATGCAATGGATATGCGATTTGTATAACTTCTCGGCTATAACTTCCCGGCCAATGGCGTCGTGTGGATGGCTTGACATACTTTTTATTTTGCTGTGTTGTTCTCAAGCCATGGAACCGTTATTCCCCATAACTTTTTCCGTTGAAGGTTCACTTTCTTCTCGCTGCCTTGAGAGGTCTTTTAAATGCAGCCTCCAAAAATTTGAGTATGGGTTCAATTTAATGATTTTTTTCTATCATAACATCGTAAAGGCACCATGAGTGTAATGCTGGTCGTGAGTGTCATAACTTGAAGCACGGCACGTACCGAAACTCGCTGTGCTATGAATGAGCATTTGCCTTTCTCATAAACGTGCTCTACACTGAACACTGATAAATGGTTTCCAACAATTTTAATCACCGTTGCAAACTACGTTTTCAGAGCTTATCCAACAGATGAAGCCTCCAAATAAGCTAGATAACAAAGACAACAGAACTTACTGAAATCTAACAAATTTATCTTACCAACTATCACGATAAACGAACAACGTCCTTGACAGGCCGCGTCGGTAGGCACACACATCGGAATCAGTCTGTTTGTCTTAAGCTGGAATTCCTTGTATTCATTAAACTAATAAAGGCGGTGCAAGGCACGACTCCGAATGGGATGGAAGATGAAGTGAAATTTGATTATGAACGCATAACATTTAATTATGATGCTCCAGCTTAACTCCTGTAGTAACGGGGCTCTGGCCCAACAACAGGGAGAGGAGAGGGTGATGGGGAGGGACAGGGGGGGGGGGACAGGGACAGCTCTCTTTCCCTACTATCTGGGGAGAGAACAGAGATAAAAAGACGACGGAAACATTGTTGGATGGCTTATAATACTCCTACCAGATTTTTTATACATGGTTCACCAGGGTTGAGCGAATACCCAGTAGTATTAGATTAAGTACTTAGATTTTATTAGATAAGATTATTAGAGTTAGATCATTAAGTAATTAGACCAGGAAGTGTTAGATCACCTGCCCTATTTCCTAACCTGTATACAATCTACCAGCAACAGTAAATATCCCAAATGTCATGATGCATAGTGTATTGTGCCAGACAACCTGTCCTTCACCTTTACCTCCCGCGGGAAGCTGAAAAAGTTAAACCATCAGCACTGAAGCCTCACTTTAAATGATTCAGTGCTTTCCGAGCCAACCAGTCCGGCCGAAAAACCTCGACACAGTACCTTGCTTCCGACCTTTTGACTAGAAGGTGCCAGGCAAAATGTGACGTGAAAGTGGGGGAGCTCACTCGAAACATGGTTCAATTGCTGCTGTTCAGTTCAGTTCAGCTTAGAGCATCCCCACGAGTACAGGAGCAACTTATTGCGCGATCGTGGCCATCGTGCACTACACAGTGCAGACACTCAGACACGATAGGCTGGCTGACTCAGACACGATAGGCTGAAGGACAAGCTGACTGACCCGCCATGATACGCTAAGTGTCTCCTGTATGATAGGCTGACTGACTCCGCCATGATAGGCTGACTGCCTCCGACATGATAGGCTGACTGACCCCGCCATGATAGGCTGACTGACTCCGACATGATAGGCTGACTGATCCCGCCATGATAGGCTGACTGGTCCAGGCCATGCGTTGAGCCCATTGCCTGCTTGAAGCAGCTGCGAGATGTCGCAGGCGCCACGAATAACCATCGATTCCAAACTACACGCCGAAACATGGGCTACGGATTTAATTTTGCAGATGGTTGCATCGACGTAATTGGATGCCAATGCAATGCGTTCATTCTTTGACATCGCTTTAATGTGTGGCGCGAAAAGTGTGAACAGCCTGCCTTTGCCGCCACCTGCTGGTCCTATCGCGTACTTGGCCACCGTGCTTGCGATGAACCCATATTGTGGCACATCAGGCACAGTTCGACATGTTGCTAAGGGTGTCTACAAAAATTCACGATACACCTGGTGTATCGTCGTGCCTAGGGCGTGAGTAACGAATCCATCTGTGTCTGGTTCACGAGAAACAATTCGTAGCATTATGCACAATAGTCTGCGATCGTGTAACGATAAAACACGCTACATTACCACTTGTGGCACAGATTTGTAACTGTTAAGCCATGAGAAAGGATGGAGATCACCAATCACCATTCCAGATCACCAATCACAGATCACCAGTCACTGACGTGTAACCAAACCACTATTAGAAACTAACGGCAGTCATCTAGGCCTTCAATGGGAGCCACCTGGTGCCGTTCTGAGTCCAGCACCAGCAGAAGCCACCCAGCCACCACCCAGGCCAGCCTGGCTGATCAACCACCCAGGCCCTCAGCATGACATGTTACAAACAAGCCAATGAAAGAGGGGGCTATGCATGGATCGTAACTGCCCGACAACGCGTCACGACGAACTCACTGATAATCGGAAGCTGCTCAGCAGCGTGTCAAACAAACCCGACCTCAAAGAATGGTCAGATCACAGCCATAACTTGAGTGGGTTCCCAAGCGTGAACACTGGGGCCAGCGGACCTCTCTCAGACATGCTTCGCCAGCGTGGGGCCCGACTCTGAGAACAACCCAGCGCGGGGGGGGGGGGAGAGAACGGCCGCCGTGCGTTATCATCACGCACCGGGCGCCATAGCTCGCAGCTTCGGTCCGCGCGAACCCGCGGGCCGTCAGCAGGAGGCGCGGCCAGCCGGCCGGCAGCCACCTGTTGCGCCTGCCCAATCAATACGCTGAGCTGGAGCCGCGCGGCCGGGGCCGGCCGCTGTGGGGCGGCGCCGCCGCTGGCTGCGTGGGCTCGCTGCGCGGGCCGGCTAGTGCGTCGCGCCGCCGGCGGCAGTCCGAGCCGTGACGCCCCGGCGCGCCGCCGTCACCGCCGCTGCCGTCACCGCCGCTGCCGCCACCGCCGCCGCCGCTGCAGGTGTCGCCGCAGCAGTGACCAGCCATGGCGCGCTTCCTGCGGCGCAGCCTGCGCAGGAAGAAGGGCGCCGTCCGGTTTGGCAGTAAGCTGGGCGGGCAGCGCCTACCTGGGCCGCACATCGATTGGTGACGCACGTGACGAGCGACCTTGTCGAGCCTTTGTTTCTGGTGCCATCGGGCCTCCGGCCACGGGGACGGCGCAGGGAGGGGGGGGGGGGGGGGGGGTGTGACCGCTGGCCGCCTGCCTGCAGCGGTTGGCGTCAGCTGTCGTCTGCTGGGCCGAGTGCTTTGCTCGGACGAATGGGCTAGAAATAACCGAGAAGCCTAGATAGAGCCTTTTGTTTGACCGACAGGCCTGATGATCTTGGCCAGCTGGTGGCGAAACCTTTCGTAAACACTTGTCAAATGTGGATAGGCGACTTGTGGGCGCAAAGGCTTGGCGTCAGGGAGGCAGGCTATCATTAACCTCCCTCTGACCAAGATAGACACACTTCTGTACACCTGGTAATTCCTTCGCCCACTTTTGTTTGTTTGGCCCCTCTTCTGTTGAAGTAACCGTTCGCTTGTAGCAGTCCAGCAATGGAAGCCAAGCGGCAGCGCGTCAGATGTTGCTCTCGAATCCCGCAAGCTGTGTTCATACCACACTAGCTGTTGCTATCGGGGAAGGCCGTCGTGAGAGGCTGCGACGCTAGGGGCCGTAGTGGTGGTGTCGTGAGAGAGTGCGACGCTATGGACCGTAGCAGTGGTGTCGTGGAAGGCTGTAACGTTAGGGGCCGTAGTGGTAGTGTCGCGAGAGGTTGCGACGCTGGGGACCGTAGCAGTGGTGTCGTGGAAGGCTGCAACGCTAGGGGCCGTAGCGGCGACATCATGGGAGGTTGTGGCGCTAGGAATTGTAGCGATGGTGTCGTGGGAGATTACAACACTAGGGGCTGTGGCAGTGGTGTGCAAGGTTGTAACGCTGGTGACCGTAGTTGACGTCGTGGGAGGTTGTGACCAGGTTGCTAGGGACCGTAGCAATGCGTCGTGGGAGGCTGTGACGCTAGGGGACCGTAGCAATGACGTCGTGGAGGCTGTGACGCTAGGGGACCGTAGCGGTGACACGCTCCTGGGATAAGGTATGTAAAGACGGCATTAGTAAAAGCCTAGTCAAATCGACCTGGTAAAAGCATATTGGTCTAAAAGTGCTGGAAGCTGGTCATGCCAGAACTATCGATGCACTAACGTCATTTTCTTACGGTCTGACCATGCTTGCGGTTTGAGGCGCCCTCAGATTAACGCTGCCGATCGTTGAAGAAGCGCATGCAGTTTTATTTCTGGGACTGCGATGCCGTGCGTGCGGTGATGATGCCCAGGAGGCTTTGTCACTACTTCGTTGGAAATTCGCATTTACTAAAAACAGTTGTTTGTCGCCCGTCTGTGTGCTTGTGGGGGAGGCGTGTACGTGACTAGGATTTTAAATTGATTAACGCATCTTTCTGCCCGGCCTCCTTCAACTTCCTTTATTCATTTTATGCGTATACAGAGCACGTAGTAGAGTGAATGGCTGCGAGCTTTTATGATAGCAAAGCTCCGAAATGATCTAACCACACCGCGTCATGGATAATCTAAAGCTATGGCTGTGCGCCGCTCTGAGCATATTATTATTACATTACATTATTATTATATCACACATATTCTGATTGGAACCCTCGCCGAGGTGCGGATCGCGCCTGAGGTGGCATGGCTGTCAGCTGATTGTCGGCTCGCCGGCCCGGCTGGCTGGCAGCAGCAGCCTGCCGGTGCAGCCAGACTTCATGCCGACCTCAGTCTGACCTGACCTGCGCCCGGCTCCACGCCGTGTCGCCAGTCGCCGCCCCTCTCTGTGATGTCGCGGCACCTCCAGCGATGCGGACGGCGCGACCGCGGATGGCCCGGCGCGGCCAGTGATGGGGCTATCACACCGCCGCTGGGCCGGGCCGGGCAGGGCCGGGCCGGCCGGCCGACGACGGCCGACGTTCCCAGCGCCGATAATGGCCCTTCGCTGTTGATTGGCCGCGGGGGAGCTGCGTGCTTCAAATCGGAAGCGACGCGGCAGACGATTGCGCTCGGACAGATTGGCCCGGCCGGCAGACGGGCCGGGCAGGACGGCGTAACCAGCCGGCGGCATCAGGCGACGCTGTGCGTGATTGGCCTGGCCGGCAGACGGGCGGGGCAGGACGGCGTAACCAGCCGGCGGCATCAGGCGACGCTGTGCGTGAATGGCTCGGCCGGCAGACGGGCGGGGCAGGACGGCGTAACCAGCCGGCGGCATCAGGCGACGCTGTGCGTGATTGGCCCCGCCAATGTCGGACGGGATTGAGGCCAAGACTCTTTACGGGCTGCGTGTGCGAGGGAGGTCGAGTAAAGCTGTCCAGTATAGGGAAGGGGGGGGGGGGAGGCGGTCTTAAGTTTCATTAATTTGCTTTTTGTCATGCCCCATTTTTAGCGAATGTGTTCCATAATATTGCCGTCGGTCCCCCAAGACCAACGGCCAGCACAAAAAATGTGGTGCTCTGATGAGCAGCCTTGCAGTGTGGTGCAGCCGTAAGTGGTATTTAGTTTATGCCGTCCCAGGAGGGGCTAGATAATTATTGTGTTTGTGATGTCATCCCTGGCAATGCTTATTAATGGTACACTGACGGAGAGGGCGTAGTTCATTTGCTTCACTAAAGCTCGTAATGCTTAACTGTCGTATCTTTCGTCCTGAAAGGGACAAAATGACTGCCCTCGAAATGAAATAACTACCTGCCGTGACTACTACGAAACGACTACCCTCATGGCTGTTGATTAGATCTTGAGAACACTGAGTTCTAGTCGTAGATATATCTGTCGCTATTGATCTGTAAATGCCACTACTTTTTTGCGCGCGAAGGAGAAGCGGACGGGGGCTTTCTAGTGCCCCTCAGCTCGAGGTTCGCCGGCCTAAAGAGGCCGTGAGATTCCCACCGTTTACACGCCTCAAACGGCCAGCAGAATCGCTTCAGCGGGGCTGCGGGCCGTGTCGAAGGCGTGGCCGCAGGATGCAATGTTCAGGACCAGGATGACGGTTTCTGGTGGTGTATGTGGTGGTGGCGTAGGTGGTGGTGGTGGTGCGCTCTGATGAACTACTGACAGGCCAATGGCGGCGGCGGCGGTGGTGGTGGTAGCTTAGTCAGACGCGTGCCGTGGTCGCCTGTGTTCTAAACAAATATTTGTCTGTCCTCACGGGCTTAGATAACGCCAGCTGATCGAACTGAGTAGGATTATTTGCATGGGAAACGCAAATATCTGCTAGGCAATATTTTTCTGCGGCTGATAACTTTGGCTGTAACTGTGGTTTAGATGCGATATCATTCCTTATTTTGCGAAAAGGCACATTGATCACTCGTTGGTCCGTAAATTCGTAAAACATCAGGCATGGTTGCTTTTTAAATGACAGGGTTTTTGTGTTCAGGGTTCACCGAAAATGACGAAAAATGAAATAAACACATTCGGATAATAATTTCTGGTGGTTCGAAAATTTCTAAAAGCATGTCATGCCGCTCAAATCAGCTCTGTGCTTTATATTTGTATCTCAGCCATGTGCACACTGGATGGGATGTGCCCTCAAAATATTATGTACATGCCTTCAACTTTGCAATGGACTCATATCTCAGATGTCTCATGTCCCCGTTTCACTTCCCTGTAACACGTATCGAGAGCCTCTAGTGAGTCATTGGCAGCGGTCACGGCAGATTATAGAGTGGGCTTTGAACTAAAAACATAGTTGATTAGTTTTAAAGAGCTATTTAGGCCCCAACAGCATTTCAAGCAACACATTCTACCTTTTTCGGAACAATTAGTCAGGATGTAAGCAGATTTTGCATAGGTGATTTCAATTCGCTTGATACCATTTTGCTTCAAGCAATGAAGTGGACCGGTGGAAGCAACAGCTGATTTAAGAATGAGCTGGAATAGAAAGTTTGCAGTACATGCTTCTGAAATGCCATGAAAGCTAATGTAATTCTTACGCGAACTGTATTGCCGTTCTCGCTTCCACAAAAGCAGACATCGTTTTCCTCACGACGCCGTTTTGTCAGCAGATACAGAATTGGATGAGTTCGAGCCTAACGCCCTGCGATACAAGCCGGACCATATTGAAACACTCTGCAAATCAACCAAGTTCAGCAAAAAAGAGATCCAGCTTATGTACCGGGGTTTCAAACAGGTGAGTTGGAGGCACCAGTGCCGTGGGCACATTCAGATAATAACCTCCCGTGGCATGGACTTTTCCCGTATCAAATTTATTAAATGCATTAAACATATGTGCTTACAAATGTTTGCTGTAGACAATTTGGTGTAAACGCGTCAAAACGAGAAGATAGAGATCACGCCATGTTGTCTGAAGCCATACAACAAAGGCATCGGGCCTGCGACGCTGCGACTTTTCGGTCACTGAATACGTTCCTGACTCGTGTCCTCACTGTCGCCCTCACTAAGGGAGCCACGTTCACATTCCTACATTCAGCTCAACTTCAGCTATAGGAGTTAAGTTCATCGCGCCAGCTTGACCAGACGGATGCGGTACATTAGGGTTTGGTTACCACCCGGATGTCGGACGTCTCAGGTAGTGACGTGGCCCGTGGCGTGTCAGTCCCTGCATAGGCGCTTCGGGCGCGTAGTAGCCAAGTCCTTGACCAATGGCGACGGCTGTGACTCCTGAGTCAGTCAGCGCGTGTTATGTAACATTCAGACAATTCCAGGCCTGTCTTCCGGGGCTTGCCTTTCAGTTTCTCACGTGGAGCCTGGAGCATTGCATAAAGGATCTATTCATTCCTTTACTAACAAAGCGGGACCATTCCAAAGTCGTGACCCAGACACGGTGCATATATTTGATCCGAATCAAAGCCGATGCTCCTGGTGCACCGACGGTGACAGACGGACGCGTTCAACACGTTGCATCGCGGTGTCACTCGCGCTATGACGCACAGAGAAGCAGTTCGGCCGGCATCGCCAGCAAGCACCTTCAGCTCGGGTGACCGTGTCTACGTGTGTCACCGTTACCATGGTCTGCCTCTGTTGGTCTGATATCGGTGGCACATCGAAAGGGGTCTTGGGCTCCCTTAGCACGTGGAAATGTTGGCATCCTTTGGTCCGGTTAAGGCGTACCAGTTACAGGGAGCCAAAAGGGGTGTCATAAAACCCAGGTAGATCGGCGTCTTTGAGCCCGAACGTGCGGGGAACGTTATACCCGGACGGTGACATGCCGTAGAGTCAGATGAGGGGCATCTTACCGCTTCATGGATTGGCATCTCTCGATCCGAGGCAAAGCTGTGTTCCAAGCTGAGAGAGATATGGTACAAGCCTAGGTATATGGACGTCATGGACTTCAGGAAGGGTGGCGTCCCTGGCTTTGGTAGAAGAGCTGCCCGTTGTCGAAGCGGAGGGACGACCTAAACCAAACAGAATTTTCTCCAAACCTGTAAGCAGACAGGACTCCCAAGTCCATGCACATGTCCTCCGCGAGCCTGGTAGAGACGCGTCTGAATTCAGCCGCCGAATGGAAAATAGCGCTTGTAGAGGAGCGCCACAGTTCGAAGGAGCGCGACGCGCCAAGTGTGCGGGCAGATGAATCTGTCTGCAGACCTCCTTGTCTCCCGGAGCTAGGACTCCCGTGGCTCTCGGTGAGGCTCGTACTGCTATGTTTCCCGGGGAGGATCGGACTCCCATCGGGCTCGCGGGGAGGCTCAAGCTACTGTGGCTCTCGGGGAGGCTCGGACTCCCATGGCACCCGGGGAGGCTTGGACTCCCATGGTTTCCGGGAAGGCTCAGTCTTCAGTGGCTCCCGGGGAGGATCGGACTCTCACGATTCCCGGGTAGGTGCGGACTCCCATGGTTTCCGGGGAGGCTCAGTCTTCAGTGGCTCCCGGGGAGGATCGGACTCTCATGATTCCCGGGTAGGCGCGGACTCCCATGGTTTCCGGGGAGGCTCAGTCTTCAGTGGCTCCCGGGGAGGATCGGACTCTCATGATTCCCGGGTAGGCGCGGACTCCCATGGGAGCCTTACAGCCCAGCTGCAGGCTCCTCCAAACGCCAGCAGAGGCGCCCTAAATCAACCGCAGGGCCCCGTAGACAAGGGAGTAGACAAGGGAACCCTCAGACAGAAGAAGGAGCGTTTCCTCCAGTGTAAAAAGCAATACCAATGCACGTTGGCGGAAAAGTCCGGCAGGCGCATAGAAAGGTGTTCTCCAAGCCCAGGAAAATGGGGGCTCAGAAGACCTAGTAGACGGACACACCGCACCCAGGTAGGCCCGCTTGGTCACTAGGATGGATAGCAAACACCGAGACCAAGTGCGTGGTCTCATCAAGGACAAGTGTAGAGACATTCCAAGTGAATTGAGAAGGCGTGTACTAGTCCAGGCTCGACAGAAGTATTGCAGGGAGGCGCTGATAAATTTTGGTTGATTACGATTGGGAACAGGGGCTCATCGTGTTTCGATAGAGAGCTACCCTCAAACGAACGCACGCAAATAAAGGGAGTGGGAGGGCGCTTCAAGCCAAGTTAAAGGACATCGCAGTGAGGTGCGCAAAGCCAAATTGCGTGGCATTCTAACCCAAGTGATAAAGTTTTTGACAAGCCGACCCGTGGCGTGACTTCTGAGGCAGTGTAGCTCCTCAATACGGTCCACATCTGAGACCATCGAGCCCTAGTTGCGGACTAGCCGTGAAGTGGCTTGTCAAACTTTTGCCAGATGTGAGGGACTTGGTATCGGAATGAGAGACCCGACCCAGCCCTAGCTAGTACTTTTGGCAGGCTTTCACCCCCGGAAAAGGCGACCATTTGATAAGTTTTGTCGCAGTAATTATGCTGCTCCTTTCAAGACAGTGATGCCTGCAAACGTAATCCTCCAACACTGCTGGATGAAAACCGCCAACGGTGTGCTTCCAGTTTGCCAGGCCAGGTCCCTACTGATGCTGAGAAGTGCAGTGATGCGTCATGCCACGATGGCATAATATGATATTGATCAATGCGGACATAAACACCAGAATGGAGTTGATGGGCGCGCCCGATATCTAAAGCCTGGAACACTCTCACTGGGACATATATCCGTAATATTCGCTTCAGATCACTGAATAATGAACCTAACGTCTTGGCCGACGGCGTCAGGAATATTATTGCCGCAGGAGTGTGACGCTGGTACTCATTATGCTGATGGTGAAGTGTGTTATGGATTCTGCACACTGCTTTGCATGCGGCTTGCACGTCACGCTCGCTCTCGCTCTGCGGCACCTCGCGCGTGCCAAGATACGGCTCAGTGCTTCGCGGGAATGGTAAGAGGGACGTCTCGCCAGTAGTGAGTGCAAGACAAAAGGTGATTGGGAAGCTGATGGCGCTACACATTTTGAACGAATTGTGGTGCCGCAGTCGCGCGAACATTTTGTACATGCTTTGTTGAACGAAATAGCCTAAACGTAGGTCCTCAGAGTGCAGAGGAGTGCCATATTATACCTAGGTCCTCAGAGTGCAGATGAGTGTCATATTATACATAGGTCCTCAGAGTGCCGAGGAGTGTCATACTATACCAGATGCCATTTTTTCGAACTACTGTCATTTGAAAGATTCAGGTTTCGTGTAAACAACCCATATCAGGTCATTTGGGGATTTTTACTGGGCGTCAACAACCAAATTTGTCACTGATTAGGGGGTAATGACTGGATTTGGGACGGGAAGGAGGCGTATGCAAGTTAAGAGGACTCTGCCTGACCGGCACTCCTGGGGTGATCTCATCATCGCAGTTCATCGTGAGTGACCAAGCGAGTGACCAAGCGTGAGTGACCAAGGTCGGTTCTTCCCGCGCGCAGGGTCTATTTGGAACAGAGCGTCAAATGTACGGACAAACAGCCAGCCAACAAGCTGTGGGGCGCGGACGAGACGCGGACAAGCACGGAGGCGTGAAGCCTTTAGTGCAAATGCACGAGTATATCTTCTGTACCTCGATCAGTCAAAAGTCACATTGTATTTGCTGCTCATCAGCCAGTGATAGTGTATCTCCTGTAAAGCAGGTAGCATCAGCGTATCAGTATCAGCACCCGGATGGGTCCCAGGGTATCTGGTGTAGAACGAGCAGTGTCGGCGCATCTGTGACAGTGCGTTTGCGGCACCCGGTGCATGACGGTGTACATGCAGCACCCGGTGCGTGGCAATGTATCTGCACCACCCGGTGCGTGACAGTGTATCTGCACCACCCGATGCGTGACGGTGTACGTGCAGCACCCGGTGCGTGGCAGTGTATCTGCACCACCCGGTGCGTGACGGTGCACCTGCAGCACCCGATGCGTGGCAGTGTATCTGCACCACCCGGTGCGTGACGGTGCACCTGCAGCACCCAGTGCGTGACGGTGTACATGCAGCACCCGGTCGTGGCAGTGTATCTGCACCACCCGGTGCGTAACAGTGTATCTGCACCACCTGGTGCGTAATGGTGTACCTGCAGCACCTGGTGCGTGACGGTGTACCTGCAGCACCTGGTGCGTGACGGTGTACCTGCAGCACCCGGTGCGTGACAGTGTACCTGCAGCAGCCGGTGCGTGACAGGGTACCTGCAGGGCTGCCGGTCGCCGGCTGCGCGCCCCGGTTGCCCCGACGCCCGGGACTGTGTATCGGCCATGATAATCGCATCACCGGCGATCTCCCGGGGGGCATTAGCGTCGCCTCCGGCTGGCCGGGCTCCAGGGGGGTCCCGGTCCGGGCGGTGCGCCCCGTCAGCCGCCCCCGTCACCCCCCGGCGGAGAGGGAAGGGGGGGGGGGACAGACCGCGACACGGTCAGCAAACCAACGGCAACGGCTCGTGAAGATGTGCGTTTTTTCGGGCCGCGTATGATTGTACCGTTGTTATTAGATTTGCCACACGGAAGTCATGAAGGCTGTTAAGTAGCAGGGCCAAGCAACGAACGCTGTTTGGCATATTTTAACACGAATGACACCAGGAAGGACGCCCACCCATGAAAGTGAACCCGGGTGGTCTTAGGCATCTTAAGCCAATAAATGCGATTGACTCTTCGTGCAATTCTTGTTTGAACATTTTAATGCTGCCCAGGTTTCTTTTCTGGACTGTATTTCAAGCTTTCAAGTCCATGCAGCTTATCGAATTTCCTGACTTGGGCTATAGTACAGCTGCTGAGGGGCGTCTGTGTCAATACTCTTTCATTAAGGACGAGTGCTGCTGCATCTGGCTTGCCATGCCGCTCGTGACTGGGTACCATGTATATTATACTGGTTCTTGTCAGGTGGTGGAGCGATCTTTATGTATGAAATGGTGCACGGGGATATCATTGCATGCCCAAGAAAAGCACACTCCAATTAATGGTCGCGATAGGATATCTATCATATCAAATATAGCGCACTGCATAGCTATGTTCATCGTTTGTGCGGCCTGCAAGTTATGCGGCTGCAAAATTTACTGGCGTTGTCCATTTGTGCAGGAGTGGGAATTCTCGTGATTAGCGGTCACACATAATGCTAATTGTAGCCTGCGAGCGGCAGCGCAATGCGGATGGTCACGTGACCGGAAACAACAGCCAGCTGATCCGTCAGTAGAGCGGGCTCACGAAGATACGCCCCTCCAAGTGGACCCGCCTACGGCAAGGGCGGTAGTTAAGAAAAGGTGAAAATGAATGGCGGCGCTCTATCCGTCTCGGGAGGATGGAAGAACGACAAAGACGACGGTCACACGTGTGGTCATTCAGGGACAAGCATGATGTGAGGCATGATGTGAGGCATGTTGTGAGGCATGCTGGCAGCGCGTTGACGATGCTGTTCCCGACATTTTGTATTCTTGGTGGTGGCTCATATCTTTCGTGTTGTTCAGGTTTCGTGGATATCATATATTTCCTGTGGCAGTTATGTAAGGATTATTAGGACCTAATTTTGATTTGCACAGAGTATATTTTGGATGCAGTGCTACGCAACCTCCATATTTTAACTCGAAGGCACGTTACAACACATCACCTTTTAATTTGAGCGTCATTTCATGCGAGTATGGCGCAATAATAATTTACATCGTTTGACAGATAAAGCATTATAAAGTTCTGAGTGCACTGTTTCTCATTTATCAGCAGCGTGACAGCTTTTCAGTTATTAGCATCATAATTTTTCCTCAAGCTGCAAATTGCTACAATGCGTTAGGTTTTCAATTCTAACTAAAATACCATCTACATTCATTAGACAGCTGGCTCTCCAGTCAACAGTTACTTTGGTGACTCGGATATGCCGAAATAATCAACACAAGACGTGCGGGCAACACTCACCGACTCGAAAAACGCATTAAGCAGAATGATGTACAATGGTATGCATGTCATTAGCAAGGTGAGCAGAAAGTAGGATGCGCACATTTATGCTAGCAGCTTGGCTTTTTGCATTAGTTCGTCCTAAATAATCTGCCGCTTTCTAGCCAAGGTGCGTACGCTCTAAACTTTGCTGCGATGTAGAAATGCGGCAAACATCTGGAGTGATATTAAACCCCCGGTTGCATGTAAATGAATGTGGAACATATCCGCAAGTTCGTAACAGGAAAATGAATCGCCTGTGGGCTATACCGCCCGGCAATGCCATGACGCGTGCTGCGAGCGTGATGCGTAAATATCTTCTACTGCTCATCAAGAGTTCAGTCTCCAACCGATTGTGATGCACACAGAACGACTGGGAACTGAGATGCAAACTGTCTAGTACCAGTGGAATAGCACTGCATCAGAAGCTGGTCTGTTTATGGCTTGCTGCTGAGGGTTAGTTCGGTCAGGCACGGGGAACATTTGCCACCGGTTAACTCCAGGGCGGTGATGGTAAGGTTTGTTCTTCTGCTAGTCGTCATTGTACACGAGATGTGGAGAGTGTTTTTAATTTTTATCTTCGTAAAAATGTACAAGAATATAGAGATTCGTTTGAATTCCGGTGGATGCACTATTCATCACAGCTAAGGAAGCTTTCTTCCCTTGGGTTTCATCCTGTTTATATTTACAAACTGACAGGACTGTATTATTCCTCGTGCTGGTCATCAAAGCCAGGTAAGTTATTTTCACCTCAATCACGGCTAATATAACATGATGATTTTCTCCCGATATACCTAATTTGGTTCGCTTCATGCTGAACACTTCCGGGCATACCATCGAAAAGTGGCCTGCCAGCGTGTTTTGTGCGCAGAACAACGTCGGGATCTGATCGGATCGCTGGATACGTCAGCGTCAGTGAGGTTGAAGAAGCCTGAGTGGATGTTGGGCCGGTGCTGCGTCGGCGGCTGGGCTCTCGTGACGTCAGCAGATGGTGCGTGCGATGCTGACGCGGACCTGGCCGGACGCGCTTCTCTCTCCCGACTCTGGGGATGCGCATCGATCCTTCCGCTGTCGGTGCCGTAGCCTTCTGCAGACGGCCATCCGTCGCGCGGCCTGTCAGACGCCTCCACGGCCGCCGCCCCGCGCACAGAGCGCCCCCCCCCCCCTCCCCCCTCCCACCATCACAGCTGGCCTTGACAACCCACCGACCGCCGTGGTGACGCGCCATAGATCATATTATACATGATGGATTTGTGTCTGGTATGTGGTGCATGAAATCAGAACGTTATGCGATATATACAGTAATGCAGGATGTCCAGCGCACTGACCAAGCGAGAATCCACCCGCTATGTCAGCAGTTTGGCCATGGGGTGTTCGGAAACATTATCTTGTAAGATGTGTTATAAATGCATTGCCTGCTCGAACAACGCTATTATCTTTATTGAGACAACGTAGTCGTGTACCGTGTATTGCTTTGCAAGGACGGCAACTTGATGGGCCGCCAATGACTTGTCTGCGCGATGTCAATGAAGAACAGAACGCTGTGGCTCAAACCTAGGATTGAGATGGTGGCCTACGCGTGTCTGCAATGACCAGCTCCACTTGTCCATTCCATTGAAGGATCCTTGCATAGCCGTATCTGTGGATAAGCCGCTGATCCTGTGCTCAACGGATGTTCATGTTCAGCAATGGATTGTTCGTGTTTCTCGTAGCTATGCTCAAGATATTAACGCACTTGGTTTTGATCAGTTACGACTATATTCCCTCTCATTTGGTCCATTCCCACGAGGCCTTGCCATACTTAGTACCAGTGACATTCTATAGAATATCCAATATTGGTGTACAAGGCTTTCTGCTGCGAACATGTTTTAACCATAGGGCTTGATTCACAAGCGACTTCCCTGCGAGCAGTCATCATCTTCAGCTAGAAAGATATTTGTGGATATCTTTGAGTTAAGAGTAGCCCTGCACCAATTTGTTATCATTTTAAAACGCTGCATGGATATCAACGCTGAATGGGGCTGGGAATGTTCCAATACCAGCAGCGTCCCAGCTCAACACCATTGGCCCCAAGAGTGTGGTGTCAGTACGGTGGTGGCGGCTATATTGCCCCCCCCCCCCCATAGAATTTTCATGTTGAAATTGAAGCGAACCACCTGCGCACATCCATTGCCTTTCTTTACCCAATTACACCATTTACGATGTGCAATGCACCGACACATACTGTCGGTGCATTGCACATCGTCGTGACTGCACTGGCACCGAGCATGGTCCCTGGTCGGTTTCAGGAATGCCCGAGCGGGACAGTGAACGAAGAGACATTCAAGTACATCTACTCCCGGTTCTTCCCACAAGGAGGTGAGGCCAACTCCCCGCCTCCACACACCCCCCCCCCCCCCCCCCGCCCTGAGCAGTTGTATGGCTCAGCGCCGTCTTGTCGCGATGCGTCCCACGCCACCCGCTCAGCCCTCTCCCGTCCCGGGGAGATTCGGATTACTGCAGGCAATTATTCTCGGAGATTGGACTGGACTCGACGGACCGCCTCCAGGTTTCCGCGGCGGTGGAGATTTCAACTCCCCGGTCTGGGCTCCCCGAACCGGCGCCCGAGTTCGGTCCACGTCGGGCGCCGCCAGCTGCGACAGCGGTGCCCGGACGCTGGCGGGCTGCGACCAATCGCCAAAATTGTTTTATTCGCATCAGTCCGTATCGCTGGGTCCTTGATGACATGGGATTGGATGTGTGTTGTGCTCGTTGATGGTGATCTGGACGTTATCAAGAGCCGCTGGTCTGTGAGCGAATGAACCATTTGTCCCGGTTTGGGGCGCCACTGAATCAGTTTTTACGAAGACGCTGTTTGCACGTGGTGTGTTTTGGAATGCTTTAGTGTTTCGAGAACTGAGGTAGCGACGCGTAGAGCTCTGATGCTTCGGAGTATGTGAACACTTCTACACCGCCTTGTGGCAGCGTAGGTCTGTATTGCCCAGGCATAAAATGGTGCTGAACAAGGAACGCCTCGGTATGGTGAAGCCACCGGCATAATTAGTATTCACGTTCTGCTTCCCTGCAACATTTGAAAATCTTTCAAGACGCTTTTCATAGTAAATCATCACAGAAGAGCCTATAATTGTCAGGAACGAAATTCCAGTTGATCCGGAACGAGTGTAACGCTGCACTGCCCGGTGGCAAGCTCACTGCCCTGCAGCGAGCCTGCCATCCAAAAAGGGCATGGACTTACGTAAGCTGTTAGGTTCAGTTACGATGAGCATTGTACATATCAATGAGACAAATACATATACATATCAAGAATTAAATAAAACAAATTGAATAAGAAGGAACAAGTTTATATCAAATTATGCATATCAATGACACAGTACTAAAGGCCTTATTCCTATTACAATAACCAGGGAGCGAGCATGGTGAAACCGAGTTTCCCAGTGCGCACAAGTCTTGATGGCCACGTAGTAGCGAGCGTGTCATCTGACACGCAACGTCCTGCTCCGTTGCCAGATTCCAACGCCTACGCGCACCACATCTTCAACACATTCGATACCGACCACACGGGCACCATCAACTTCGAGGTAAGTGTTGGGCCGTCGGAGCCGGCGCGATGCTTCAATGTTTCGTGGTAAGTGTTGGGCCGTCGGAGCCGGCGCGATGCTTCAATGCTTCGTGGTAAGTGTTGGGCCGTCGGAGCCGGCGCGATGTTTCAATGCTTCGTGATAAGTGTTGGGCCGTCGGCGCCGGCGCGATGTTTCAATGCTTCGTGGTAAATGTTGGGCCGTCGGAGCCGGTGCCATATTCCAGTGTTTCGAGGTAAGTGTTGGGCCGTCGGAGCCGGCGCGATGTTTCGAGATGAGCATAGGACCGTCGGAGTCGGCGCGACGCCGATCCTGAGCATCCGCCGAGCGGCCGCCCCGACCCAGCTCACATCGATCTCCGGTCGCCCCGGTCACCAGCTCCTGCGTGCTACGCTGTTTTTCTTCGTCAGTTTGTTATTGTTTGCTTTGGTGGCTCCCAGATAAGAGCCTTGCTCAACATCTCATCCGCGGCCCCGCGCACTCTGTGCGCAGTGTTTTCTTTCGGACCGCAGCGACAATACGAAACACTTGTATCCATTTCGGCATGTACTGCGCTCTCAGGGTGACCGTAACTTATCAATATCACCTTGTTGTTCGACATCTTTGATCTCCCGCCCGCAACGGAATACGGATAGGAAAACTTGATCACATTCTGCAGTGCGTGTTGTGTTTTTGTGGTGGCGACGTGGTCTGCATTTCGTATCGTTGATCGCAAACGAGGGTAGCCGAACAGCCTCCAAATGGAACTGCCCGTTCCTTTGCCCTGTCATCAACTCTGATCGACCTCCTGATGCTTCGACGCGCGTTGCTGAATGACTTCGACCCGAACCCGATATTTTCAACCTTCCAGGCACACGTGCCGATTTACACAGACTGTCGACGCGTGTAATTCCTTCGCTCCAATGTCCGGTCAGACGTGTGACAGGCCTCTGTCATGTCTGGGGAGTCTGTGGCTGGTTTATTTTGACCAAGCCAGGTCTGTCAGGGAGGGGACCGCGCGAAGAGCGGAGAAAAAAACCGATGGTCCGCAAGACGGCAGGCACCAGCGCACTGTTTACGACAGCCACAGAGATCTATGTTGCATTATGACGTCTTCATACTTTTAAAAATCATTGACGTTTTATTCCATCTTTTGTTGGTCACGTCGGGTATGTCAGGGAGGGAACCACACAAGAAGTGGAGAGAAAGACGGGCGGTTCACAAGACGACAGGCGCCGGCGGCCCGAGCGCCCGCACCGTGTTTACCAGCCTGGGGCAGTCCGCCGAGTCCTCTTTCATGCCATCTTTAGAAACACCACGAGTTTAAAACGCAAAAGTTGTGGTTGGAATTTGATGCCAAGCAATGTATTTACATTAAAACCCGTTCACTCCGGAATTTATAGAACAAACTGCAACAAAAGTTGCGGGTCGGAGAATGCTGAAGGAAGTTGGCATACGTCGTCTATCAGAAAGGGTGATTTCACATAGATCTATCTAATACCGCATAGCTATCCAAGATGGCGTAGATGCTTTGTGGACGCTGTAATTGTATCAAAGCTTTTTCCACACAGATATGTCACATCGCTGGCAATTACACTGTTATCAGGTATGATATGTTGTTACATCGTCCTTCAAAATTTAATTGTGCTTTTGCCCAAACTCATTTTGGTTGGTGTCAGCCACGGAATCGTCAGACCTTTGCGTCCGAGTTTCATCGCATTCCTTTAGGGGCGCCACGGTATGACTTGTCATTTTTCTAAATTGATTCGGTGTGCCTTTGGGACAGAGTCATGCCTTACAGACTGGACGTAATCGAATCATCCCGGCGTGCGAAGTCCAACACGAACGCAGCATGGCTCGAACCCGTGCTTTGCTCGAATTGGCCGTATTGAACAGTTACATAAGTGAAACGCATAACCGTCCGGAACATTCAGCGTCAGCATTTCTTATTGTTGTATTTCTCATTTCTTTGTTTTTCGTCAGCGTCCGCATTTTTTCTAGTCTCCACTTCCACCGATTCTGTATAAAGTGCAGCACAATCGACCGTTTTTGTGATGGTTCTCTTCTGTGAAACGCACGCTTCGTCAGCCAACAGCAGCGCTTTATTTGCTGGCGTCATAGACGCCATCATTAAGCCATACCCGGTAAGCCTTTACATGGGGGTTTGGTTTAATTGCGTCTTTCGTTACCCCTATTTGCCGAGCACACAATCTGGGCATGACAGTTGCGAATTTGACAGCATTATGCATCTAAAGAAAATCATAGCTCGTAACATTTTAATGAAGGGTGTTGTGGCCTAAGGCCACAGTGTGGCCGATGCCACTATTCCGCACTCTCCACCCACGTGCGGTTTCAGTTGGTATTTTTACTTGAAACCTCGTATTGACATCCTTACAACACAGTAAGCTGAATGCTCCCTGGAAACTGATCTCGTGGATCAGACCGTATCGATTTAGGTCAGGTCAAGGTCAGATTAAGACGGGTCTGGTCAGGTCCGGCTAGGTCAGGCAGTGTCAGAGCAGATAAGATCAGATCAGATCACTTATCAGTGAATTGTCTGGCTCGGTCGACATTCAAGCTGGCAAACTGCCAAACTCCCTCGGTGGACCGATGACTCGGCAGCGTAGCACTGTGGGCCAGAGACGCACACATCTACAGGCGCAGATCAACTGCCAAACTCCCTCGATGGACCAATGGTTCGGCAGTGTAGCACTGTGGGCCAAAGATACACACATCTACAGACGCAGATCAACTGCCAAACTCCCCCGGTGACCCCGCAGACCCCGGGCTCCCTATCTGGCCCGCTTGCCGCGGTTCATGCGCGCGCGCGCGCGCGTGTGTGTGTGTGTGTATGTGCGTGCGTGTGTGTGTGTGTGTGTGTGGTGTGTGTGTGTGTGTGTGTGTGTGTGTGTGTGTGTGTGTGTGTGTGTGTGTGTTGTGTGTGTGTGTGTGTGTGTGTGTGTGTGTGTGTGTGTGTGTGTGTGTGTGTGTGTGTGTGTGTGTGTGTGTGTGTGTGTGTGTGTGTGTGCGTGTGCGTGTGCGTGACCGCCAGGAGTCAACTGCCTGCTCCCGTTTTCACCTGCGTGTGTGTATGCGTCCGCCAGGTGTTTACTGTATGACCCCGTTTGCGAGAGTTGGTGACCGTCAGGGACCCACCACGTTACCCCGTTTGCAGGAGTTCGTAACCGCTCTCTCCGCGCTCAGCAGGGGCGACATCTACGACAAATTGCGCTGGGCCTTCTCACTGTACGACGTTAATGGAGACGGGTAACTATGACACCGACGTCTCCAGTTAAATTGCACCAGTACCTTGAAACGGCCGCCTTGCCTACTGGAATTGAAAGAAGCACATTCCTAAAAAGGCTAAGTAGTCACAGAGTAAGCACTCGTTTGCCAATCATGTTCATGCGAAGTGCAGTTGTGTTGAGATTTATAGCTGGCTGGCTTTAATCTAGTGCGGGAAATGCTGCTCTTGTCTAGAGCATTGAAAAACGCAGAGATGTGTCTCTTAAACGTGAAGCATGCACACACGCAGAGTGCAATGGCAGGAATATGACCGTGTTTTCCATCTGCGCAGCTATATCACCAAGGAGGAGATGCTGGACGTAGTCGGGTCCGTGTACATGCTGGTCGGCCGGCGGGCCAGCCCCACGGGAGAGGACACCACCACCAAACAACACGTCGACAGAATCTTCCAGGTGAGGCTGTTATGATCTCTCACCCCCACCCCCAACCGATCCCCCCCCCCCCAGCGATTCAGATGACACTCAGGAATAACTGTGCTCACGAAGTGCAGTGATTGAGAAAAGCTCATTTTGGGATGCCCCTGGTGCATTTTTGCCGACATTTAACTGACTTTAAGGGGAGGTTAAATTTTTGTACGTGACCTTGAACCAGTCTAGAGAGATTGTAGCCTACAGCTTGGACGTGTTCAGTTTACCCTTTTTAATGAACAATGCCCCCTTTCAGAGAGCCTTTTAACAAAACGTTCTGTCCTCAAAAGTGAACGTCTGTTTGAAATGCTGATGCCCCGTGCGCAGTGCCGGCCCCTGCAGGGAGTCAGATAACCAGTGGGGTTGTGTCATTGCAGAGGATGGACATCAATGGTGACGGAGTGGTCACTCTGGAAGAATTTGTAGAACTGTGCAGCAATGTGAGTCGATAACATCCGTGCTGGTAAAACACTTGTATTGTAGGTGATTTGCCCGATTCAAAACATTTTGTCATAAGTCATGTTTTTATGATAATTTTACGTGACGAGCGACATACTGCGATGCTACTGAGCAGAGGCAGCTAAATTTTAAGCTACGATATGTAAATTCACCGTGTCACGTTACGTAAACTGAGCATTGGTAGTTTTGTCTGCTATGGAGCTTTACCCAAATTGTGAGGCAGCAATGAGGACTTTTTCGAAGCTGATTGTGAACACATCTTTCTGTTTTGAACGTGTTTCAGTGCTCACTTCATACTGGCTGGTTCATTTGTTTTCCATGCATTCTAAACATGATTTCATCTGTCCAGGATCAGTCACCACGACCTGTTAGTTCCCTCCGTCGCTGCTGCTGACCGGGATAGCTGCAGCTGCAGTCTCCTTTTTCCAGGACGAGACAATCGCTCAGTCGTTAAATCTGCTGGATACGTGTTTTTGAACGGCCCGGGGCGCAGCGCCGGAAGATGGCCGCCCAGGACCATTTCGCGTCTGACAGAGACGAGCAGCGCCACTCCGCGTCTGACGGAGACGAGCAGCGCCGCTTCATAGCAGACGGAGACGACCAGCGCCGCTCCGCGTCTGACGGAGACGAGCAGCGCCGCTTCACAGCAGACGGAGACGAGCAGCGCCGCTCCGCGTCTGACGGAGACGAGCAGCGCCGCTTCACAGCAGACGGAGGCGAGCAGCGCCGCTCCGCGTCTGACAGAGACGAGCAGCTTCATCCCACGTCTGATGGAGACGGGCAGCGCCGCTCCGCAGCGGACGGAGACGAGCAGCGCCGCTCCGCAGCGGGTGGAGACGAGCAGCGCCGTTCCGCAGCCGGCTGAGACGAGCAGTCTGTGACCCGTCCGCCCAGACCGGTGGCGCCGTGTCGTTCGGGGCTGCAGCGCGGCGGCGTCCTTGTGCCGGGTATCTGTCCCACACGCGTTGCTCGGCGGCCGCGTGCGGTAGGTGTGCGCTACAGTCGTTGTGGCCAGTGCGTGTTTCGGTGTGCCGCGACCGGCGTTCGCGTTCGCAGCGCCACCCGCCGGCCGCGTGGCGCGCGCTGACCTCAGGGCAGGTCAGGTCACGACCTTTGTACACCGCGCTCGAGACTGCGGGTGGTGTCAGAAGAATCAGCCGTCCTTGTTATGTGGTGACTCGTGCTGTGCTTCAGTGCAAACCGCCCCTCTCTGGACCACGTCCGTTGTTTGAGCACCGCCCGCCTGCCCGGCACCGCCGCACACTCCGAGCCGCCGCTAGCCGCACTCACGCGCGAGGGCAGTGTCTACATGTGATGTTCAATGGGGAATACACAAGTCCTTGTGATGCGAGGTGCTCATGGCCGTCGTCTGCGAAAAGAGCTGAAGCATGGGACATCGACGTGGCGCCGGCGACATCAAACGCCGAGCCTTCGGTGGAGTATTACGGACAGCGTTGGGTTCAGCGGCGTCGCTATCCATCATCGCAGTATTAGCGGACAAAAGGTCATCGGGTGCAGATCTCGTCATTCTCAGTGGAAGCCCAGGGCACGCATTTGAACAGATTGGGGTCACGGACGGAAATATTGTTCGGGTCTTCGTCCCGACACTGATCATTCTGTTTTTGTTTGCTTCTGTGAAGATTTTGCTTCATTTCAAAATATTTTGCAAGGTTTTGGCCTTGTGGAGACGTGAACGACATAGAGGTACATGCTTTATAGTCACGTAGTTTTACATCGAGCCTAACGTCATGGTTGAACAAAAAGTACGCAAAGGCGGTAATATTTTAGATGTTTTGTATTTATTCCGGTTGGAAAGCCGTTCTGATGGAATTTTCACTGATTGTTTTATTAGGTCCAGTCCCTGTAACGAACTCATTGTGCAAGGCTGTGAGGAAGCTCAGGCTGTGATGCAGTGGATGAGGTACCGCATGATACCTGCATCAAATGTTTATCACAGCGGGTCGGCGTGAAGGAGAACGGCGCCGGACAGCGTATAGGGCATTGCAAACAAAAACGATGGTCTTTTGACATTCCCTGACGTGTGTGAGACATCTGACGGCTACGAGAAAGCGCAAGGTGACTCTCTGGGGAAGGCTCGGGGCTTCGGATGGATAATTAGACGCTGCAGCCCGGCTGTAGTGGTTTTAAGTTCCGGCGGAAACTAAAAATATAGACAGGAATGCCGTGCACTTTGAAAGTGTTTAAAGTACAGTACTCCATACGTTTCGTACGTTCAGGACAGGAGAAGCCGCTTCTTCAGTTCGCTTTGCAGAGCGTCACAGCCCCTTTGAGGCTATGGCTTCGCCAGACGAGCGTCAAATCGAGTTACGCTGATGGGGCTCGTGCAATTCGAGAAGGCGTCGTCACACGGGACGAAGAGAGGCGTGAAGACAGCATGCGGGTATGCCGAATGACAGTTCTAGACAGCACAGTGCTCCGAACGCTCCAAAGCCTATACTCCACCAGGTGCATGCTGGCGGGCCATCGTTTGCTTCCCGCGAGCTGAGCTAGCTCCCTGATGCTGGCGACTGGGACTGTCGTACCGCAGACCGTGGCCGCGCGTCTCTCAGCAGTTGTTGACACCGACAGTGGGCCTGTGTGTCCGGCGGGGAGCAGCAGTGGGCCTGTGTGTCCGGCGGGGAGCAGCAGTGGGGCCTTTCTCGGGCCGTCTGACCGGCGCCCGCGGCGGCAGCGGCGGCGGCGGCGGCGGCGCCGGCCCAGCCGGCCAGTGACCCCGATCAGGCCAGGCTGGGAACAGAACCGCGGGAGCAGCGCAGAGTCGCCGCAGCGCGCGCGGGATCAGTGCCGACGGAGGCGGGGCGAGTAGCCGGCACCAAACTCCACCAGACCGGACAACCACAGCATGGCGAAGACGGAGCTTAGCGGCCTCCTGCCGCTGCCGGACAGGTGAGACAACCCGGCTAAACTCTGGCAGCCTTCGTGCAATTCGGCCCAGCGGTCTCGTAATCACGGCTAGCGGAAAACGGCATGGGCGCGTGTATGGCAGGAGCAGGCATGACTCAAAGATTGATGGCCACTTCGGCGTATGTGCTCCTACGATACAAATGATGCTGGCCAGCGCTGTCTGCAGCATCACCTCTGGTCGATGCTTAGCTGGAGAAGCCAGTCAGCTGTCGGCTGCGACAATAGCTTAACACTTGGGTCTTTTAATGGCCGGTGATGCGCACGTGACAAGACGGTGGATGAACTCATGTTCATCCTGATCCTCTTTACCTGGGGCCTGACTTGCGCTGGCCTGGAATGCAATTCGTAGCGTTATACTGCCCAAAACATTACATTCCGCGCCAGATAAAGGATCTGTGCGCGCCAGATCAAAGCCCCCCTCACTGTGTGATTGACCCGGTCAGTTATTGATATCGTGGCCTTCGTGGTGTGTACGGGCGGTGTACGGCTGGGTCCCCGGCCATCTGCCGGGGACCCAGCCGAGTCAGCTGAGCTCGTCAGCTGTCGGGCCCGCCGCGCTTGTACCCCGGCCCTGGTGGCCGTGGCGGGCTCCAGCTGAAGGTCGCTGACCTCGGCGCGCTCCTATCAGGAACGCAGCATCCCGTCTGCACTCGGTCTGGTACAGTCTCTGCACCCGGGTCACGAGGCGGTACAGTCGCCGACAGTGCACTGGCGCGAGGAACCTTACGTACCGACGGCGACGCGCGCAGACGGTCACGCGCGCTCGTGCGCAGACTGTGTATCCACTTGATGACCGAACTCATCACTGGCCAACTCTCAGGCAATGTCATCGACGCTTCCGTGCGCGAATTATGCATCATTAAACGTTTTCCTCGTAGATTCTCCTTCGAGGTAAATTTTCCAATGCATAGATGAAACCCATCGGTATCGGTTGCCGAAGAACTCCAGCTCCATTAAATTGCTTTTGGTGTAATCCGCGGACTCAAAACTGACAAATCCTGCATCTGATACCGCCTCGCTCGTCCCACCCTGCAAAGGCGCCCAATGGGTTTCAGTTACCAAGTCAAAGATGTGAGTCGCGCGCGGGACTGCTGTTGCCACTCAGGCTTCCTTTTGTTGTCCCGAGCTGTGCGTGGAATCTGCAGGTGTCGTACCTCTTGCATTACATGGGTGACGAAGCCGGCGAAGGTGATGTGAGTAAAACGCGCAGTGGAAGTGTATAGGGTATGTGTGAAGTGGATAATGGTATATGTGAAGCGGATAGCCCACGTAATGTCACCGATTGTTACGGTTATCGAATACTTTACTCACGATGTCAAGAAGAATGGAGCTCTTTGCAGCCAACGCTTTGCTCACGAATACCAGTTTTGTCGAATCCTTTTGGAAGAGCTTAGAATTTGTATTTAAAGTAGCCACTCCTGCGAGAGAAGTCTCATCGACTTCCCGCTCACCACTATGAAAGTAATACATTTCATTTGCTTTGCTTTTCCAACGTGTTCTGTGCCGTTTGCAACACACTAATTTATCAACACGTTTGTGTCATAAATGCTACAAAATCTTGAAATATTCTGTATGCATGAAAAGAGAAGCAAACATGAAGCTATTATATCTCGAATTTAACGATAAGTTATGCTATGGCTTTGATTCTCACCATGGCGTTTACCAAAGTGCCTGTTTTCGAGGAGCACTTTGGCTTTGGGAACGGGAGCATCACCTGATTCATAGTGACGCACTAGTTCAAACCTTAAATAATGAGCTTCTCGGTACCAGGCCCTTGCCGCTCGCTGGGCCAATCACAAACGTTCGCGCCAGTAGAAGTGCCACAGTGATCGTCATGACGACGGTGGTCGCAACTGTAAGGAAGATGTGTAGTGCTGTTACAAAGCGTCGACAGCATACTTTGGACTCGTAAATAATTAGAGTTGATAACCACATAACGTCCTGACGGGGCTGCAGTGGCACTATTCAGTGTTATTACTAGACGTAGACTGGTCCTGAGGTGCTTTTGAAACATGCCCCACAGGTGGGGGCGCTCCCTTTAAATGCGTTTTCGTTCAAAAGCGTTGCGATTACGGGTCCCTGAATCTGCCTGCTTCACTCGCCACATGTTTCATGAAACACTGACCTACGCCCCGGTCTAGGGCCGTGTGCGTTGTGAGGGTCCATAGGGCGGATGTGATCACATTGCTCGGACGTGAAGATTGCCCGCAACAACCAATGGAGTTGACTGGAGCATAGAAACCGGCACAGCAGGAGGTGTGACCCGAAGTGCCGTAGATGGTCATTGCATTTGTGCGATCTTCTGCCACTGTGGGGACTATTGCGCAATGGTTAGACGTGCGATGCGATCGAGGCCGTTCCGAGTGCGACATTCGCAACGGTTAGACGTGCGATGCGATCGAAGCCGTTCCGAGTGCGACGTTCGCAGTGGTTAGACGTGCGATGCGATCGAGGCAGTCCCGAGTCTGACCTATGCAATGGTTAGACGTGTGATGCGAGCGAGACCGTCTCACCTTCGCAATGGTTAGACGTGCGATGCGATGGAGGCCGTCTCGAGTCTGACGTATGCAATGGTTAGACGTGCGATACGATCGAGGCCGTCTCGAGCCTGACGTATGCAATGGTTAAACGTGCGATGCGAGTGAGACCGTCTCACGTTCGCAATGGTTAGACGTGCGATGCGATCGAGACGTCTCGAGCGTAATGTTCGATCGCTTCATATCGCGCGGACTGTAACACAGCCACCAGCGCGCGTTGCTAGTGGTCTCAGAACTGACAGCGGTAAATGATGCGTCGACTTTCAACTGTGCCAACATGCTGGGCTCCACCTGCTGATCCCTCGCTCCATAAACAGCCACATGCTCAAACCCTTGCTATACGTAGACGCGAAGGCATACGTATCCAAAAATAGGAATTATAATGATAAGGGCTTACCATGGGTGGCCTTGTTGCTATCTTGCGTGAGCAAAACCGCCTTCACAACCACCGTGCTTCAAAGCTAATTAGCGGCACAAATGCCATTTTCCGTTGTCATCTGTTAGTAGAATGTAAATAGCTGGCATTCTCTTGCCAGGCTCTTCCCGTCTATTCAAGATTTGACAGGTGTCAAGCCGTGTCTTGAATACAGTCTTAGTCATTAGCTGAAAATATCACCAATTTTAGATATGCAATGCTAAGTTTTCGTGCTTCATATGTAGTTAGCGGTAACTTAATAGTGGCGGTCAGTAGATGTCGCCTGGCTACGCCACTCCGATTTCAACAGCAGCAAGTGTTCTCATGCTTTAACATTTCAGTGTGCCCTGGTTGGACGAAGCCCGTGCAGCTCTCGGCTCGGCACCCATAATTACGCGAGCGCAGTGGCGGCTCGTCGCTGACGCCGCCGGCGGTTTTGGTTGCAGGCCCGCCGGCGGCCGACGATGGTGGCTCGCCTTCGGCAGCCTCTGCCTGCTGGGCATGGGCACGCGACTCTACGACTTGCAGAGTCCCCCCTGGGTGTGGTGAGCTGCCTTGCGACATCACGCCGCTCAAGCCCGTCGGCTGTCGCCAGCGTCTGCCTTGACGTGAACTAACCTAGGAATAGCCTGACCTTAACTAACTGCCCTAATCCTTGGAAAGGTCGATCTAGTTCTTTTTATGCATTGCTGAAGTATCGTAACCATGTTACGGCAAATTTCGTGCCTCGGTAACCTTCATGAGATTGGACAGTTCAGTGTTTAACCAGCTCGACTGCATGTTATAAATTCGTCTCGTCGTACTCGCGTTGGTCCCGCGGAAATGATGTTTTCCGTCCTTACAGTTGGGATGAAACGCATTTCGGAAAAATGGCGAGCTGGTACATCAACGGCTCATTCTTCTTTGATGTGCATCCAGCTTTAGGAAAGGTATGCACCATTGCATTCGATACTGAGGGAGGTTGGGCAAGCTGTTAGGGAAGGCTGCTTGAATCTTTCGTTAAGATGTTAAAGTTACTAATGATTATCTCATTGAAGGAGTGTGTATGCACGTTGCCCGTGTTTCACCTGGTATACTAGATTTTATGCATATATATATATATATATATATATATATATATATATATTATATATATATATATATATATATATATATATATATATATATATATATATATATTACACCACATTAAACCATTGGTGTCTTATGGAAACGCAAATTTTACTTTTGTTTAAAGAAAATATGTCTATTCTACGATGGATTAAGAGATACGTGCATTGCTTCGAAACATGCAAATCTCAGGGTCAACGAAAAAGCAAAGTTCCACCCAGACGGAGTAGCGTAGTTTAAGGATGTTGGTGTTATTAGGCAGTTGTGAAAGGTTTGTTTTCCATGAAAGTCCATTTGAGAAATTATCCCAAATGTTCACGAACGAAAATGAATCAGACCCCCGGACCGTATCAATAGCGCGTGGCCCCAGCCGTCCTTGTCCAGCCGCACGCTGCTGTGGTCTGCAGCTTCTGATGGCCGGCGCCGGACATCTGACCGGCTATAACGGCACGTTCGCCTTCATCGCGCCAGGCTCGCAGTACAACGACACAAACTACGTGGGAATGAGAGCAGTGAGTGACGAAGGCAACGCCGAGATTACTCTCGCCGCGTCCGAAGTATATGTTTGCAGATCTCAACTGGCATTAGGGTTAGTGAGGACCATCGCTTACCCATCAGAAAAACTTTGCTGACCCGTATTTATGCTATGCATATTTGCATTTTCAGTGCAAATAAATGCCCATAGATATTTTGCATCATCTGTATTTGCTCGTAACGCGAAAAACGAAGCATCAATTGGAGTGCGCTTGGCCACTATGTCAAAAATAATTCCCTTGCACTATGATGTCCAGCCGAACCACCATAATATCCAACTGAAACACCATCATATCCAACTGAACCACCGTCGTGTCCAGCTGAACCACCATCGTATCCAACTGAACTGCCAGCATGTCCAGCTGAACAATCATTAGGTCCAGCTGAACCACCATCATACCCAACTGAACTACCATCATGTCCAGCTGAACCACCATCATACCCAACTGAACCACCATCATGTCCAGCTGAACCACCATCATGTCCAGCTGAACGCCGGTTTACAAATACAAACACAGACGGCCGTGACCTCCGACCGGTGTTCCGAGCCCGACATGTCGGGAGAGGACAGAGGCTGTCACGCTGAGACAGATGTTGCCGCACTGGGGCATAGGCCGTCACACTGGGACAGAAGCCGTCACACTGGGACAGAGGCTGTCACGCTGAGACAGATGTTGCCGCACTGGGGCATAGGCCGTCACACTGGGACAGAAGCCGTCACACTGGGACAGAGGCTGTCACGCTGAGACAGATGTTGCCGCACTGGGGCATAGGCCGTCACACTGGGGCATAGGCCGTCACACTGGGACAAAGGCTGTCATGCTGGAACAAATGCTGTCACACTGGGACAGCGATTGTCGCACTAGGACAGAAGCCGTCACACTGGGACGGGGGCCGTCGCACTGGGATGAATGCCGTCACTCTGGGACAGAGGCTGTCAAACAGGGACAGGGACCGTCACAATGAGACACGCTGTCACACTGGGACAGACGTTGTCACACTGGGACAGACGCTGTCACACTGGGACAGACGCTGTCACAACTGGGACAGACACTGTCACACTGGGACAGACGCTGTCACAACTGGGACAGACGCTGTCACAACTGGGACAGACGCTGTCACAACTGGGCGGAGGCTGCAACGCTAGGACAGAGGCTGTTACCTGGGACAGGCCGTCACAATGAGACAGAGGTTGTCACGCATGGCGGGACCCGGTGGCAGCCGAACCGTCCTGACCGATCGCCTCTGCCGCAGCTCTGCGCCGCCCTGGGAGGAGGCATCGTGCCCATGTCTTTCATCACGGTCCACGACCTGACCGGGTCGCTCCCCGCCGCCACGTACGCCGCTCTGTTCCTGACGCTGGGTGAGGGCTCGCTGCCTCTCCTAAGCATACACCCGTACACCTTGACCTCATCTGGTCTCCAGCCCAGGCATCGTCGTGCCGCCTTGTGACTTTCATGCAACCCTGGCGCAACTCTGTTTTCATTTAATCGAGCGGGGTTCAGAATGAGGCGGTCGGCAATAATGCATCGAGTTAAAGGTGTCTGGGTTAATCGGTTTATGACCTTTGAAAGGAACCAGGCAATGGCGCCTTAACTCTGGATAAGTACGGTTGCGCCGATATGTATATACGTGTGCTTAATGGCCACTATCCGAATGGCCGATGATGGCCACTGTCATTTCGTCGCCGAATGAACCTAAAAATTCAGTTCAGCTCGCGCAGAATGATAAATCTGAAGCATGCTATCACGGTACATGTGCTGTCAGGTTTACCTCGTGGCGTACCTGTTTTTGCGCAACTGTCTGCTACAGTGACTGCATGCTCAGCGTCTTGTCACGGGTTCACAGATGTCGGCATGACGACCATCAGCAGGTTCATTCTGCTTGATCCCATACTCATGTTCTTCATGGTTGCCGCTACCATGTTCAACTTCAAAATAAATAAGTACAGGTGAGCTCTTCACATTGTGCGCCCCGTGTAAGTGAATGTATTTGTGCTTGTTCTGTGACTAAAACCAAACGGGTCGTGCAGCAGCCGACGATAATGAACTCTTCCATTCTTGGTCATGGCATTTGGAGCGTGACAGCGGCTTGTCAGATGCTGGGCCGGAAGCGGCTCGATAAAGCTGCCTAGAGTTCGGAGAAATTCAGCATCCAAGTGCTAATTTGGACACCAGACAAAGGCTCCTCCGAGCCCGCCGAGAAGTACTTGCCAAGTTGAGTCGTCTGTGATGAGGGTTAGTCAGAGTTGTGCAGACTTCTCTCGAACTTTTGATTTGATGTACCTTCTTCCAGTAGCTTTTATGAGGCGAAAATGCGCATACCTGTGCTCTTATTCAAAGAAAGTGCGTTCTTTTTCATACGATGGCACAAAGAACTGGATAACTTTAGAAAATATAAAAATATGATGCACTTACATTTTTAAATTATTATTTAAATGAGCATTAGGTACGTCTATCTGGTGAGTTTATGATCATATGGGAGGTTCTATTATTCAAACCTTCAGGCAGTGTCTGTTTATTTAGAGTTCGGTAATTAACGGGACATAATTTGCATGGCAAATGTGTCGATCGAGCGCGGCTACATCGGCGCTGCTGTCACGTGCCAACCTGAGCTTAGAAACAGGCCTCTGTTGTCCGTTCGCCAGCATAAGTCAATTTCATTCCCGACCATTGCAACTACAGCGAACTCGCGGACTGGTGGCCATAACGTTGATGGATGGTTGGAAACTTGCTTACATTTTTGCGCATCTGACCAGTCTGCTCGATGTCACTCAATACCGTTGATGCATTTGCAGATTAGTTTGTCCCAGCCCCGAATAAGCTGCAATATCTCAGAGCTGCAGCAGCCCTATGGCGGCACTGTCTTCTGGTGCCCTGCACTTTAGCCTTCAGGGGCCTTCAGCAAGTCCCCTGGTCCCGCACAGCCGCGGGGATCGGGGATCTGTCGGGGCCTCGTCCAAAACAGGAGAGGACTGCGGAGACTGTTAGGGGATTCGGCGGCGACCGATGGGTGACATCTGACCCCGGTGACCTGTGGTCCGCAGGGCATTCAGCGGCCGCTGGTGGCTGAATCTGGCCCTGACCGGCCTCATGCTGGGCTGCGTGCTCAGTGTCAAGTTTGTTGGCGTGTTTGTGGTGGCTCTGGTCGGGCTTTACACCGTCGCGGACCTCTGGTCCATCTTCTGTGACCTCAGCAAGCCGCTGGTGAGTAGCGTCCATTAGGCATCCATCGTTACGATGTTCCCAGTGATCTGCGTTGATTTACTCAGTGCGAAGGAAGCGGGTAACCAGATGCGTCATGCTTTCACAATGTCGAGCCATACATACACGTACAGATATTGAGCCAAATTTTTGCTTTCACATTGTTGATCCATACATCCGTGCATACATACAGTGAGGGAAGTTGTTGCGTGCGAAGTAGTTTTTGCCTTGGATGTGTCATTTGTGTTTGGACAATACGTGTCCACCGCATCGTACCAAGGTTGACGTTCACCGTATCACCCCCGTCCCCATCCCCCGTCCGGGTTTGCTCACCTCAGGCTCGATCGAATGTGGCTGATGTCAAGGAAGCTGTCTAAATTTGTAGTCAACGAATTAGGGCGATCCGCAAGGGCACCAAATCCTGTTCAGTCTGTACGTATCGTAAACAACGGAAAAGACGCTCACTCGACGGTGGCATGAGTCCAGAGCTCATGCTCTGGGATCTCCTCCGCTGAAGCCTGTAGCTTTCATGTACTCGAAAACCAGAACACCACTAAAAACAGAGCCTGGCTCAATCATGGGCGGTCGGAACCGCGAGCGCTTCGGTGATCTCCTGCTCCCCAAGACGCAACAGAAGCCTCAGGTGGACCGCGCTATGTGTTCATACCCAGACGTACTCAGTGCGCAGTGTAGCTCTCTGATGACCTAGTCTTCGGTGGCGCTTTCAGTCGCACACCGTGAAGCACTTCGTGGCCCGCGCTGCCTGTCTGATCGTCCTCCCCATGGCGACCTACGTGCTGGTCTACTACATACACGACGTGCGCATTACAAAAGCGTAAGGATATTGCAGGACGACGTGTGCCGCGGGCTATCTGACAGACGTAGACATTACGAATTTACGCCCTAGCACAGTTTTAACGATGTACAACAGATTTAATAACATTTTCTTAATAAACTTGCCAACTTTTTGTGCTGGATGACGCAACATGTCAAACAGGACAACGGCTTGTTGCCGAATAATTCATCTCGCGGAATGAAAGCGGGAGCTCGACGATGGCGAACACCATTTTGACTACAGCAAGGATTTGATGCCATCGCGAATACAATAACATCAGCGGCTTTATTGTTAATTTCAGAAACGACGTGCACGGCATGCAGGGTGACGGCTGGCTCAGTGCCGGTACACAGATGACGCTGAAGAATAACGACATGTTCAACGTCAGCCAGCCCAAGTGTGAGTGGCTGCTGACTGGCCGCCGGGTGAGGCGCGCCGCCGGGTGACGGCCCTCGTCGCTGCTGTAACACAGTCACCACTTGCCTGAATGGAGTACGGCAAGTGCTGATTTTGCAATATTGGGAGATAACTCAGATTTGAAATGAAAACCTTTCTTATCGCGCCGCACAAGGCGCGAAAGCTCTTGCATGACAATTTAACACTTTGGTATGGTTTCTGAATTTGGTATATATATATATATATATATATATATATATATATAAACCACTTCGATTCAGTTTAATGCGTGCACCTTAATAATGTCATTGTCAACATACTATAGCATGCATGTTACTGCATGCAGAGATTTGATAATGAGCGGAGGTTGGGTGGGCACGTGCCTCCGTTGTCTCCACTCCCCCTTAAATGCGCCTAAATGCGCCACTGTGCACTGCAATCCCAATCTTACTTACTACTAGCCTTATTACTTACCACTTACTACTACTAGTTGGCCTTACTAAGCCAACGCTATTATTCATGTCTGGCGTATTGGCCTTTTCCGTCTTCATCAGGCCGTTTTGTCGACGGAGCTCAAAGAACATCATATTGGGGACCTGAGGAATCTTTAGACGCTTCTCATCATGCCATGAAATAAGCTTAATGAAAATCTAATGAGAGTTGGAATGAGGCCGGCTTCAAATCCTTACAACTTCCGCACCCATGGTTGTATCCATACATGTGGCTTCGTGTTTCCTATTGCCTAGACACACCAAGCTGTTAACATTTTGAGACGCGTCCGCTGTGATGGGCAGACCTGGCGTACGGCTCGCTGGTGACGCTGCAGACAGTGGGCTCCTACAGCAGCTACCTCCACTCGCACAACCTGAGTTACCCAGACTGGCGCGGCGCCAACACCACCGCAGGCCACGCCTACAACCTCTCCGAGGTCCACTCGGTCACCGGCTTCCGTCTCAAGGACCAAAACAACTTCTGGTAACCGCTCGCCGCCGATGGGCGCGGCGCGCTGCATGTATCCCGCGGCTGTGGTGCTAGCCGAGTCACACTCTGCTAGTGGCACACTCTGCTGTGGTGCTAGCCGGCACACACTCCGCCAGTGGCACAGTTGGGTGTTGCGCCGGCACTGGTCAGAGTCGTGTCGGGCACCCTGGCGGTGTGTGACGCCTGAATCGGGCGGACCCGGGGCCCGTCCGGGTCAGGTCTTTCGGCCGTGACCCTGACGACACCGGTCGCCGAGCGGTTGTCGCCATGAGGCTGCCTTCACTGCGCCCGGTGCCCGTCGGTCGCTTGTTGCCGTTCACGACCAGCGGGGCGTCCGTAACCGAGCGTCGGTCCGGGCCGGCAGGAAGATCCTGCCGCACGACGAGGAGGAAGTGCCGGACTGGGAGAACCCGTACATGCCGCCCGAGCCCGTGCTGAACGGCGACCGGATTCGCCTGGTGCACAACACCACCGGCCGGGTGTTGGCCGTGTTCCACCAGCGCGCCCTCAAGACCAGCACCCAGATGCTGGTCGGAGCGCTGCCCGAGGTGAGCTGCGAGCTACCCAATGTGAGGGGACTGCTGCCCGAGGTGAGCGGAGTGCTGCCCAATGTGAGCGGACCGCTGCCCATTGTGAGCGGAGCGCTGCCCGAAGTGAGCGGAGTGATGCCTGAGGTGAGTGGAGCGCTGACCGAGGTGAGCGGGGCGCTGCCCGAGGTGAGCTGCGAGCTGCCCGAGTTGAGCGGAGCGCACACCGCATTGGCTTGGGACCGACTGTGCTCCCACAGTCGTGGTTAGGCACGGCCGCACCATTCGGCCTGGCTTGGCCCGGATAATCGGCGGGCTCCAGCACAGGCTGATGGTTCCGTATGCTTCCTCTTATAGCAAGCTGTTCAAGGTTTGATCTCATGTTGAAAGCTTTACGGAAATTGGAAAATAATTACAACGGCGCCGCTAATTCCGTTTTACCATGCATTTTCATACTTTTTAACAGGTTATGATTGGGTGAATAGTTATGCTCGAACTAAACATTCATGTGGACTCAAGGCGAGCAATGAATGCCAGAAAACCTTTTGAAACGTTATCCCAGGCAATGTTTCGGAGACACTTTAGAAAGCTTAGGTCCCAGAATGCCCTTCGGCAACTGCGTAATATAAACTAGATTCCAATGAGCATTTTGATGTTTTAAAACACGGGTTCAGGCTCAGAGGAAAACTGAATCTTTCAAGAGCGCCAAGATTAATTGTCTGACAAAAACGCCGCTTTTAAACCTTTTTAATTAGACTCTGCGTTATTGAACAGATTTTATCTTGAACTTTCCGAAATGAAAATGTGAAAACTGGGTGGCGCATTTCGGGATCGATGGCACCCAACCACGTGTAGATTTCGGGTGGAATTCGATTTAAGGAGGCCGTTCTCGAAAGCTGACTTTTTGAGAAGCTGCAACAACAATTTTAGATTGAGCCTGCATCATAAAAGATCTTCCGCCAACACTGGGTCGAGGATTGGGACCCTGCAGGATCCGTCGCCGAAGATGATATGGTATCCAGAATGACGAAAGGTTCTTCGGGGCTTTCCGAATGGATTTAGGCCCTGTAGGATCTGGATTCCAAGACTGAAGGTTCACATCCCGGATTCCTTTCTGGGAATGACGCGCATATAACGCACGTAGTGGTTTGAGCCACCGCCGTGGCAGCCATGTAGTATAAGATTTCACCAATACGATAGTGTCGTTTAGAGAAAAGAGCTTTTGAATATTATGGAATGATCATGCATACGTGGTGACCAATCGTTCCATGCGTTGAATGGCCCTGCATACGTGGTGACCAATCGTTCCATGCGTTGAACGGCCCAGCACACGTGGTGACCAATCGTTCCATGCGTTGAATGGTCATGCATAAGTAGTGACCCATTGTTCCATGCATTGAATGGCCTTGCATACGTGGTGACCAATTGTTCCATGCGTTCTATGGTGGCCGATTGTCACTGCTCCGGTAGTCTAAACACCCTTTTTACTGCCTCCGACCGTGTCTGCCGTTCACAACCGCATTCGATAGCATCGCATGCTCAGCAAAAGCCCCGTTACAGAGACAACTGCAAAAATACCAGAGCGCGTTCGAGATACAAGCTGCCCAATTGGACGACGAGGCTCAGCTGGAAGCCATTAACACGACGTTCAGTCTGTTCAACCCGGGTCTTCGGTGCGCCGTTTATGCCTCCCAGGAGAAGCTGCCCGAATGGTGAGCTTGAGCGGCCGCTGATCGCGGTGGGAGATGGCGGTCGATCACGCTAAGCCGACCAGGCTGATCGGAATTCCAACGCTTTTGACACCGGCGAACTGCAGCCTTTGAAGACGCCAATTTTGCTGAGATCGGGAGAAGGACAGAGGGGGAGAGAGATAGATGAAAGATAGATCGAGGCAGATGAAGAAGAGAGAGATGGATGTTTGGTAGAGAGCGTGGGAGGCGATTGAGCGGGGTGAACAGAAGGCGCGGGAGGACAAAAGCCGAGAAAAGGTGACGTGGCGCGGTGAATTGGGGATAGAGACTGGCAGGATGAAAATTGGTGACACATCAGACTCAAACTGGATCGCTTCTGGATCGCTTAGTCCGAATCGCTTAATCACCAAATTGCATTTTCTCCGAGCTGACAGCCCGACTTTTTCTCTGACAATCAGTTAGACGATCGTTTTAAAGATATCCGACACGCGACCTCGGCGTGGGGCTCCGTGATGCGGACGCTGGCACTCAAAACCCTTATGTTTAACTTCGCATCTTGCGACACAAATTCCGAATCTAGGTATTTCGACGTCTCGGAATGACATTCTAGTCAGCGTTATTTAGTTCGACGGTTTGCTCTCTCTTATCGAGCCGGCAATTTATGCTTGAAATGGCACTCACGAGGCGTTTCGCCTGATGCTGCCTCCGATAAGCCTGCCCAACGTGGTCGTGAATCCCGCACGTCATACGGATGATACGTTGCTGGAATAAGAGCTATCGATCTCACGTCCCAGCCATCGTGACTTCGCAGACACGCAAGGCCGTTTGACCAGGCCAGCAAGGCGCCTGGAGTGTGCGTGCGGCGTGGCCGCGGGACGCGTCGCTTGGAGCCGCACTAATGGCGGCCGAGCCGAAACCGTCGGCGCCTTCCCGAGGGCTGCCTTTGCCACGTACTCATGCCTGCTGCCGCCCTCACAGGGCAGCAAACCAGCTGGAGATCACCTGCAGCAAGCGCCTGACGGACGAGGGAGTCACCTGGACCGTCCACCGGCACATCAACCCGCGCCGTGAGTGTCGCCGCGTCACAGTCGCCGCGGCGCACCGAATGTGACGCGCGTTGGCTGTTTGACATTGGCTGCACTGCGCACGTAAGGGGGCTGTGATTTGTTTCGCGAGGGTCTCGTGGCGCTTCAGTTTTACTATGCAAATTGCACCCGAAATCTTTTGAGAGCATGTTTGGAGCTCGCGGTGCTTAGATTTTATAACTGGCCCGCACGGCTGCCATGTCGCTCCGCATCTTTCCGGACTGCTGCACAGCGTACAAATCACTGTCTTTCTCGTGACGACGTGCCCTCGCTTATCTATTGGGTGAGGTACGTTTTCGCCTGGGAAGAACGGGTGGCAGTCAGCACGAGACTTTGCTAGCCATCAAAGGCGGTGGAGCTCGGCTGCGTCCGGCGTCGGGCGGCGCCCTGGCGCCTGGCTCTCCCCTGACGTCTCCCCAGCGTCGGGCGGTGCCCTGGCGCCTGGCTCTCCCCTGACATCTCCCCAGCGTCGGGCGGCGCCCTGGCGCCTGGCTCTCCCCCTGACGTCTCCCCGGCGTCGGGCGGTGCCCTGGCGTCTGGCTTTCCCCTGCCGTCTCCCCGGCGTCGGGCGGTGCCCTGGCGTCTGGCTCTCCCCTGACGTCTCCCCGGCGTCGGGCGGTGCCCTGGCGCCTGGCTCTCCCCCTGACGTCTCCCCGGCGTCGGGCGGTGCCCTGGAGCCTGGCTCTCCCCCTGACGTCTCTCCCGGCGTCGGGCGGTGCCCTGGCGCCTGGCTCTCCCCCTGCCGTCTCCCCGGCGTCGTTAGCGGCGCGAGCAGGCGATCAGCAACCGCCAGTGTGGACGTCTGGCGACTCCAGTCGCGCGTCGCCGTCGGCCGCGCCCTGGCGAGAGGGCTCGATTACGCCAGTCCGCTTTTGAAGTGCACGGTCACGCGCAGCTTGAAGGTCATCAGCTGGACTTTCCCACGGCTGTCGGAACCGCGGACAGAGACGCATGGGCGCAGGCTGGCACAGGCGACCGTCAGACGAACACTGGCGGAGGAGCGCGTGGCTGCGGGAACCGCTTCCAAGAGATGCCCGGAGTGATTTTGTCGGCTCAACTCAAAGATATGTGACTGAGGCTTACAAGGACGTTCAACGGATATTTATGGTGATGGCGACGACGGCGGCAGCAACGCATGCATGCACTGTGCTTGCGCGTGCGTCACCGGGCTGGCAGGAGCGAGACGCACAGTTCAAAGCTTCACAGTGCGGTCCTAAACGTGGCTAATCCTGTTCAGTGAGCTTATCACGACGATTGGAGTCCAAGCGGATGGCGAACAGGCACTCTGGAGAGTGGATTGCTTGTGAGCTTCGCGCGGTCAGACGGAGGGTCGGCCTGGCAGCCCACCGAGATGCATCACTTCTGGTTTAATCCACCGAGCTACCATGCCGTGCGATATCAAGAGTGATGTCTCGGTAGGCGCCGTTACAGATGTGAACCGCAAACCGGCACGGATTTAACGCCTCGTCAGTGCAGATGACCTCCCGGTTCCAGCGCGGAGGACTGCAGCCATTTTCAGGCGCGCATTTGCATGAAGTCAGCGTGGAGAGAGATGTGGGTCATGACTCGCAAGTTTTGCCAAAACATTGGGTTTCAGCCCGCAAGAGCCGCTTTTGCTGCGCTGTTCAGCATATGTGCCTGTCGGGACGCCGCGCGAGCTGGCTGGGCGCGCCTCTACGCAGAACGCTGTGAAGGGCGCGGCGGTGCCGATGCCGGCGGCGGCGGCGGCGGCGGCGGTCCCGGGCGCGGGGTGACAGGCCCGTCGCGGCGTCCGTCTCTCGCGAGACCATCGATCGGCCGCGGTCGGCGCTCATCAAATCATCGTCGCTCCACATGCGGCGGCCGTCGGGTCGGCCACACACGCAGGGGCGGTTTCAGGGTCGGGTCGGCTGCACACACAGGGGCGGCTTCAGGGTCGGGTCGGCCGCACACGCAGGGGCGGCTTTAGGAACGGATCGGCCTCACATGTAGGGGCGCTCAGGCGAGTAGCCTCCATCCGATCCTGCTCATAGCTCGGTCATTTCCGTTACGGAATATTGGGACCGGCCAGTCGGGTAGTGAATCGTCTCAGTAGGCCCGACATCCAACAACATCAGTCCTCCAATCAAAATAGGGGGGGGGGGAATCCGTCCTTGTTTGTAGCCAGCAGTCAGACCGCTGGCAATCATTCAGTAGTCCTGCCCATCACGGCCATGTATCACATGCTCAGCACACCCATGAGACGCCGGCTTGCTGTCCGGTGATGACTGATCATCACCATATGCCCCACCCGAGTACGGCCGACCTGCAGGTTGTCCGTCTCGCAGTGTCTATCCGTGGCAGGTGCGCCCTCTGCCGGTGAGAGGCTGCCAGCGTTCAGGTGCCTCTTACTGCGACTTGTACCCGTCCTATTGTTCATGGTTGTACCCGTCTTATGACAAGTCGATGGCGAGTGATGCGTTTCTCTCCATGGGTAGTGGCTGCCCGCATGTTTCTTGCGACCTTGCTCCTTGCCCCGTGTTTCTCTCCACATGTTTCTTGCCGTGGGTAGTGACTGCCCGCATGTTTCTTGCGACCTTGCCCCTCGCCCCCGTGTTTCTCTCCACATGTTTCTTGCCGTGGGTTGCGGCTGCCCGCTTGTCATCTGTCGGGGATAGTACTTGTCCGTGTGTCCTCATCGCGGCATCTGTCTGCGAGCTGGCTCTACCTTGTCGTGTCTGCTCGCGAGCTGGCTCTACCTTGCCGTGTCTGCGCGCGGGGTGTCTGTACCTTGCCGTGTCTGCGCGGGTGGTGGCTCTACCTTGCCGTGCCTGCTTACGTGTTGGCTCTACCTTTCTGTGTCTGCGCGCGAGGTGGCTCTACCTTGCCGTGTCTGCTCGTACGTCTTCAGTCGGGCCGTGTCTGCTCGTCTGTCGTGCGTCAAATAGCGCCCATCCATTGCCTTCCGCCTTTCAATGGGAATAAGCGTGATCTCCGCCGAGTAGAGCATGATGGCCTCGCACATTTGTAGATATCCGATAATCTTCATCCCGCTAATGATTGCGATCCAAAAACACATCGGCTGGCAACATTACATTATTACATTATTACGAGACACATTATTTCAGCCCGCAGTCACCTTACGTTTGCGAATTTGGAAATTTGCCGGCTATTTTGGTAGAGCTGACGATATGCAGTAAGGTTTAATTATGTTAATTGCAGTTAGGTAAAGTTCAGGTTTGGTACCAAACAAGGTTCTGCTCCTTTGAAGTAGGCATTGCTTTTTATCTCAACTCACCCCATACAGCAGTAGGCTGAAACACTGACCTGGTTGTGCTGGGCTTGGCCCATTGGATGCAAAGTACATGAGTGCATTTTCTGCCCAGCGGCAAATAATTGAGAACAAACTGGTCATGTAGCTGATATAAGCCATGTGGAAAGTTTGCGCTGGAACAGCGGAAATGACGATAAATGATGGGTGCCCACTGTATCCATCGTGACCTTTGTCGTCACACGGCTGCCCCTTGTCCGTGCCATGGCGGCGTGCCCCTTCTCCTGATATCCTACAGTTGCGGGCTGCTACCTCTCAGGTGTGCGCGTGCAGTGCATACTCTTCCCAGGCTTGTCACTTTTGCAGGTTTGCGAACCTCACATGCGTCCTCTATCGTTTGTATCACGCCTTGAATAGGCCAGCTTGCCCGCAAAATAAGTTTCAACGTGCCCCGATTGCTTCCGTTACATTTGACGGAGGTAGCAAAGATATCTCAACAACCCTGTCCATGCTCTGGCATGAAGCCGGTGACACGATCAAGGATTTACACAAATTCAGATCAGTCACGCGATTACCAGATTAGGATAACTCATATGTATGTGCGGCGCTTACATAATTTGACAGGCGGCAGAAAACAAGTTGTAGCTCTTTCACAAGTTTCGCTATTTTTTCAGAGGCTTAGTTAAGGCGACAGCTTTAGTGACAGCTTGCAGATCAGGGACCAGGCCCAGTGAACTTGTGCTGGCAAAACTACTGGACATATCGATTTCAAAGTGACGGAGTTATTTCCTTTTGGCTTACTTGCACCGCGGTCCAACTCAGACTTCCCGGCTCGGTCCCCAGACATGGCACACGCATGGAGGAAAAATGGGTCGCAATTCCGTCCAGGTGGGTGGTGTATGCTGACCGCGTTGGCGTAGGTACTGGAGGGAGACGCAAGCTGCCCTTCCACTCTACCGTCCGCGAAGACCGATCTGGCCGTCTGCTGGGAGACGTCCGCTGCCATCCAGCCGCCTGCCGAACGACGTCCGCTGCCATCCAGCTGCCTGCCGAACGACGTCCGCTGCCATCCAGCCGCCTGCCGGACGACGTCCGCTGCCATCCAGCCGCCTGCCGAACGACGTCTGCCGCCATCCAGCCGTCAGCCGAACGACGTCTGCGGCCATCCAGCCGTCGGCCGGCTGACCAGTGCAGGACGCGACGTCGGCATCAAATGAGCCTGATTGGACGCCTATTGATGGATTCGACCGTGATCACCCGGATGGCACGAGGGTTCGGCGACGTTTTTGGCACCACGCTCTCCCTCTGCGTGTCAGTCACTGCGTCTGCGTCTGCATTCGCGTCTACGTCTGCATCTGCATCTCCCTCCGCGCCCTCGTCTCTCTCTCTCTCTCCCTCCCTCCCTCCCTCTCTCTCTCTCTCTCTCTCTCCTCTCTCTCTCTCTCTCTCTCTCTCTCTCTCTCTCTCTCTCTCTCTCTCTCTCTCTCTCTCTCTCTCTCTCTCTCTCTCTCTCTCTCTCTCTCTCTCTCTCCCTCTTCTCTCTTTCTTTCTTTTTCCCCATTTCCTTTCCACCTCTTTCTCACTCACTTTCTTTTTCCCCGACAGCTCTACCTCTGCCTCTGTCTTATTCAGTCTTCAATCAGCTTCCGTGCCAGTAGTCTGAATTTGAGCCAAACATCGCCAGACGCCAGGGTCGAAGTCCGCACAAGTGCATCTTCGTTGGCATTTCGACGGTCCATCCATCACAGATAGAGCACCGGCAGTGCAGTGATAAGCTTCCAAAGACTACCTCGCATACCGAAGCAATGTCGAGTTAACCCCACTGCGGCTTGTTTCAGTACGGAACGTCACGAAGCACTGGCGTCGTTTCATCCCTAGCCTGCCGAGAAAGTTCATGGAGACGCACGGCATCATAACGACGGTCAACAGAAAGCTGGTGCCGAGCCGACTACAGATGATGAACTCCGACCACCCCTGGATGTGGCCCGTCCTCTACCGGGTAGAAAGAAAGAGAGAGAGAGAGAGAGAGAGAGAGAGAGAGAGAGAGAGAGAGAGAGAGAGAGAGAGAGAGAGAGAGAGAGAGAGAGAAAGAGAGAGAGAGAGAGAGAGAGAGAGAGAGAGAGAGAGAGAGAGAGAGAGAGAGAGTGTGTGTGTGTGTGTGTGTGTGTGTGTGTGTGTGTGTGTGTGTGTGTGTGTGTGTGTGTGTGTGTGTGTGTGTGTGTGTGTGTGGTGTGTGTGTGTGTGTGTGTGTGTGTGTGTGTGTGTGTGTGTGTGTGTGTGTGTGTGTGTGTAGACCTCTACCGGGTAGAGTGTGCCAGATAGGACGGTGTGAAGCTTCGGCGCAGAGTGAATGTGGTTTGTCGTGTGCTGCTACCGGGTTCGCTGACGGAGGCCAGCAAGCATTTCCTTGGACACCATGCCACCCGTTTTTAACCAATCGACGCATCACATCAGATGGCGACGACTTCTCGCATTCCAGTTTAAACTCCTCAACTTTCACAACGCGGTTTCCGTTCTCTCGGAATCAGCAAAGCTGGATATGCCTGGCGTTTATCGAGCCTCCGTTTGAGACAGACAACACTGGATACAATTTCTCCCCCTGACCACCCGAAGTCGCTTACGCATAGATCGCCATGAAACCGGCCCTCACAGCCACCATGCACTCCAGTGATGCGCCGCGGCAATACATCCGTCATGGCCCAGTCCATTATCGTCAACTCACCACCGGTTTCCAGGGTTTGCACTTCTCGATGCAAGACCCCCACCGGGTGTACCTGTTGGGCACGCCCCCCATCTGGTGGGCCAATCTGCTGCTGCTCGTGTGCAGCTGTTTCATCATGGCCTTCATCGGCTACAAGGAGACGCGGCGCCCAGCGGCGGCGGCGGCGTCAGCGGCGTCGGAGCAGGACCAGCACGGTCGGTGGACCCGGTAGCCTCAGCGCAGCAGACAGCACGGCGCGGGCCGCTCCGCCCCTGTTCCTTGTGGCCTTGTGCCGATCTGTGGTGCCGGGGTGGTTCCTGACCTTGGCGAAACAAGAACATATCTATTGATATAAGAGCTGTGTAGCGTTATGCAAGCAGAGTCGGTGATGAGCGATGACTCATGAGCCGTACAGGTTTACGAGCAGCGGCAGGTGGCCGGCGGCTGGTCGCTGGCTGCGCGTGACGTGTGGCGTGTTCTGCAGCGCGGTGGCGGCGACAGACGGGCCGGGCGTGTCTCTGGCTGCTGCTGGCCTGGGCCGTTCACTACCTGCCCTTCTGGACCATGAGCCGCATACTCTACTTCCACCACTACTTCCCGGCACTGTGCTACAGCTGCATGCTTTCAGGTAGGTCAAACGGACCTGAACTTGCACAGGCATAAGGTCAGGCTCAAGTGTAAATCATATATTCGGACTAAGTCATCGCACTGTGCGCGTATTGCAGTTACAGGTCACGTTACATTTATTAGTTGATGTGCGCTACTCTGGTCAATAATTTCGACCACCGACCGGAAACAAGTAAAATGGGTTAGGTTTCGTCACTGCTGCTTGTTTTGGATGCGGCCAATATTTTTCGACGCGTGGCTTTACTCTCCCTCCCAGATTTGGCTGTCCCTGAGTGCTTTGACTTTTCAGCCTATGTTAGGCAATCGACAAATGCGTTCAAAGCACTGCAGGCGACCATGCAAGTGATTCGGTCAGTATTTATCTTTCCGATCGCGAGCAAGTATTCCTGGCTGAGGAAGGCCGTAAACAACCAGGAATATGTTGAATTCGAGGAAAATCATTTTCCTGGATTCTCTTGATAAAAGTAGCGTAGCGGGGAAGTGCGGACCACAGTCGGCGCCGATCAAACCCAGAGCAGCTTTGGTCTTTTTATGTGGCAAAACGGGCAGCGATCCCAAACCAGAAGTTCACGAGCCTTTTACGCGTCGAGGGCATTTCTTAGGGTGGTGAATGGGTGTTTCATGTAGTGCAAAGCAGGCCATCGTACGGAGGTTATGGAAATCTCTAAGTAAATTATGAAGTGGTGTGTGATCTACGTACAGTTACCACCGCGCATTAGCGTGATAAATAATCGCAGGCTTCTCCATCTTGAATGAATAGGTCAGATGCTATAAAGCAGAACTGCGCAGTGCGTATCCACTTCGGCAGAAGTAAAAATGCTGCTATTTGACATAACTATAAGCCTCTCAAGATGAGCTCGTCGCGACCGATCGGCCCCACGTGCGCCTCTAGCGATACCCCCGTGCCTTGACTATCTTGCGCGGGCTATAGTTTCGTCTCAAGCGGCACCAGGCTCGGGGCCTCGGAGACGTGCAGCACTATTTTATGGGCCATGTACGAGAGAAAAGCGGAAGAGATCAAACTGGGAACGCTCCACTAAACTATTTAACTGTCAGTCTAACCTTAGAGGAGATTTCCCGTCGGATAAGGCGGCTGGGAAGCGTTCAAGATTTAGCGGACTAAACGCGATGGCGTGCTTACAAGGTAAACGGGCCCCGTGGGCGTGTGACGTGTTCTGTCGCTACCATTCGCGTTTCTGCAGCCAAACTGGAGCTGACGAGGCAAGCGTCCACGAAATGTTACGATCCAGTACGTGTCAGGAAATGCTGTGGCCTGTGCGTTTGGAAGTTTTCACGTGATTGCCTCCGTGGTTATTACACGTTACTTCCCTCGTTGGCGTAGTTACGTCTGGCACGATGTCTTGCCGCGAATGAAGCTTCACGTGAATACTGGAGGTCTTGTCTTGTTATTTAAAGAGATCAGAGCTCATACACCACGATTCATTTTACTCCAACGGACGCTAACACGCTTCACTATAAATACAAGTGCAGTTTGGGGGGGTTTTGAATGATTAAGTGCAAAACCGAAGGACATCGTGGAAAACGGAGACGTTGCCACTTAAGTCGCGTCTTCGAGTATCACCTCTCGGTAGAGCACCGCACTCTGAGAACTCATAAATGCACGTTTAAGGCATGCGTGTCTTTAGAACCAAAGTGGTTTTCGTAATTTCCAAAGAACGTCGATTTACCGAATGCTGGCCTGGTTTGATATGCTGTTTTCGGCGGGAGTTTCATTAAATGCGATTCGCACTATAATTATAATTAATTATAATTATTACTCAGATGTCTTGACACGCGACTGTCATCGCAAATGCGCAGAAAAGTCGCACGGGTCACGCCTGGAGCATTGGGAAGTGCATACATGACAGCAGGCAGCTTCAGTGTTTAACGCTCGATCGCTGTCACATAAAAGCCGGCACTTCTAAGAACACATTAATGGTAAGCGTCACCGATACTTAAGTTCGAGTAGCGGCTCTCAAAGACATGGGCCTCATATGTCTTGGACAGGTTGATGAAAAAATGAGCATGCAGGAAAAAGTTTTCCCCTTACCGGTTTCGCAGACTTTTTTTTAAAAAAAACTCGTTTTCTCTGTTCTCTTAAGAATCTCTTTAAAAAACTTTATTTTACGACGCACGATTGCGCTCATTATATCGTACATAGTATCCGTTGCATTTCTGATCCTCTTTACTGTACTGTGTACATATGTGGACCATTACGTGCAACCACAGTTTCATGGCATCGGAGCCAGACGTGTTCCTGAATTCGAGGATGAGACTCGACCCAGAGAATGCGCCGATGGTTTTGGATCTTTAGGAATAAAAACTATTGCCTAGAGTTCTTACTCAAACACCACTGTCAAAGCGCCGGCAACAGTTTGCTTTGGAATCAGGATGTCTGATCAATGAGCTGCAACGTCTGTGTCCACGTGTGTTTGGTACCTCACAAAGCACACCGCTCATTCTGAGGCCCGGTGTTTCGATCAAGGTCGGTGCATACATCATAGCATCGCGAGGTACAAAAGATGTCATGCGTTTGTGCCAGCTTATTCGTGCAACGCTCGGTTCTCAGTCTGCCCATCATCAGCGGGTCGTACATAAGCATTAAGCCACATTGGTTTTGCCTTGGCATGCCTTTAAAGAGAGAGGCTGCAATTATTTTGAAATAATGTCTCGGCCCGGCACCAATACACACCACTTAAAGCGGCACCAAAGTGGTAAATGGCAAGCAAAGCTGCACTGTAAATAGTCGCTATCAGCTACATCTGAGACCATCATTGCTACCGAGGTCACCATGTCTACTGATACACTCGTGAGACGTCTGACCCACATGAGGCCTCTCGCCTCGGTTCGCCCTGGTGCAGCAGGTGCAGCCGCCGCTTGCCCAGCCTTTATCGTCACTTTAACTCCCATTTTGTTTTAAAAGCTTTACTGAATTTCAAGTTTCGATACATTTTGAGCTTCGACAACAATGGCTTTCACTCCAAGTTTATCAAAGTCCGTTGCTGGCTATGCCATTTGCCGCTTCTCAAAGTTATGCTTGTTCCAAACACTCTGCTGCACCAACTTTTCGTAGCATTATTCACCCTAACGTATTGGTGCGAGTCGCTTCATACGCGTTGCACCTGTGTGGCATATCACCGCGACGTCGCCTGTGCCCCGGAGCAGATGTCCCAACTTCCGGGCTGAGAACGTTCCGTTTCGTCTCAGTTCCATCATTCTCATCGCGTGCCGCTGGAGCGCAGCGCACTGCAGGGTGCTCGGGGGCCGATGCTGAGCACCTCCCGAGGGCGGGGCGCCGGAGGCATGCCGGGGTCGATAGTGTCGGAAACCGGACCCCGCCGCCGGGCCCGCCGCCTACGCAACAGCGGCTGCAGGGACACGCGACGGGCGCAGTCAACAGCTCCGGGGCGGCGGGCTGGAGACGGATCTCACGACCGACGCGGGCCACGCCTCGTGTGACTTGAGCTCGGATGAGGGACCGCTCCTAGTGTGGAGTGGAGCAGGATAAGGGTTCACGCGCGGTTGGCCTGGGCTCCGGTAAGGGACCGCTCCTAGTGTGGACCGGAGCAGGATAAGGGTTCACGCGCGGTTGGCCTGGGTTCGGATAAGGGACCGCTCCTAATGTAGTCTGGAGCTGGGTGAGGGTCCATGCGTGGTGTGGCATGGGGTCGAGTAAGGGACCGCTCCTACTGTTAGCTGGAGCTGTATAAGGGTCCATGCGCGGTGTGGCTTGTGTGGCGGTGCGGTGTGCCGGTGTGGCTTGAGGTCAGATAAGGGTTTGCATCTGATTTGAGTTTGAGCCGGATTAGGGGCTACGCCTAGCGTGAGCTGCAGTCGAATAAGGGCCCGCGCCTAATGTGCGCTGTGTTCGGATACGGCCCCGGCTGGTGTGGTTCAGTGCAATGTGCGCTGTGTTCGGATACGGCCCCGGCTGGTGTGGTTCAGTGTAATGTGCGCTGTGTTCGGATACGGCCCCGGCTGGTGTGGTTCAGTGTAATGTGCGCTGTGCTCGGATACGGCCCCGGCTGGTGTGGTTCAGCGTATTGTGCGCTGTGCTCGGATACGGCCCCGGCTGGTGTGGTTCAGTGTAATGTGCGCTGTGTTCGGATACGGCCCCGGCTGGTGTGGTTCAGTGCAAGCCGCGCGATCCCGCTCAGTTACGCCGTTTGGTGCGAACTGACGGGGACACGGCAAACCTCTGCCGCCGCCGCCTGCAGCTGTTCGTCCTCGCGCGTACGGATGGGTGTTGGGATGGCCGAAACCAAAGGGAGGGGAGGGGGGGGGGGAGTCTAGGGTCCCTCGCATTTGGAAGGTTTACATGGACTTTTTGAACTCTTGGATCGGGAAATAAGTACATCAGCAATACCGCCCCCCCCCCCCTAAAAGGCCTGGCTGCGCACCGTGTGTTGGCGTACTGCAGACGCCCCCCCCCCCTTCCCCCCCCCCCGAGACAAGAAGTCTCAGGCTGGAGCCGACGACCCTTCCCAAGAACGGAGCTGACGGCGAGCGGCCCTCTGACGCGACCTCGCCGCCCGCAGGCGTGGTGCTGGACTTTCTGCTGACCTGCCTGTACAGACAGCTGCCGGAGGCCCGCCGGGCCGCCGTCTATCATTGGCTCGTGGCTGTGCTAGTCGCCGCGCTCTTCTACAGGTGCGTGATCCGCCACCGGTCCATTGGGACGGGACTGACGTGTCTAACAAGGAGGCCGTCAATGGATAGAGGTCTTTCTTAACCAGTGGGTACTAGGCGGCGATGGCTTCGTTTGATCGTGTAGTTTAGGCCAATAGCTAGCTATTAGCCAGCTATTGATAAGGACTGTCCCCCAGTGCATCTGTCCCTCAGTGCAGCGGATCTGGGCGGCAGAGGTTATTGAGAACTGCTGTCCCGTTTGGGGTAGGGCTTGACCAGCAGCGTCGACAGAGTTGGGCCTTTCCAACAGCGCGACGGAAAGCGCATCGACATTTAAGCCCACCATCTCAACAAGCCCCCGTGGGCCCATGCTAACACGTGCTGAGTTCGAAGGAAGGAACGGTCTGAGAAGCGAGTGGGCTGAATGCCCGTTGTAAACGATTTAGTCCGATTTGGCACCAAAGAGATACAACGTTAAAACTTTGTTAGTGTGGGTACGCCTAGTTCTTAAGTCTGCCTGGGTGAGGAGGTGTCATTTGGATTGCATGCCGCCCCAAAGCAATCTTTATGGCGACAAGAAATGATGCATGGCATCGCTGTGAAACGTGCGCGGTTTAGGATGCGTCCACGGCTGATGTCTAAAAGTTCAGGTCCAATGTTGCATCAGTTCAGGGAGGTATTTTGTTTTGGTCTGGCCAGAAAGTAATTGTGGGCACAAAATCGCCATATGACGATATATTTCAAGCATTCAAAGCGCCATAAAAGATCAATGACCTTTTCCAGTTCAACGAAGTCAGTGATATATGATGCCTCTGAGCTCGGATGCATGTAGACCATTGCAATGTCCCTCACTGAGGATACGACTTTGATCTGCACGCGCACCGTGTTATTATATCAAGGATGACCTGGTGTGGGAGGTCACTGGGTGACGCGAAAGGGTCAAACCTGGGCTTCCGCATGCCATCGCTGCCATCGCATGCCATCGCTACCATCGCTACTACCAGTCTATACACCGGTTCTTGTCCTGTGGCCCTGGGTGCGGAAGGAGCTAAAGCGAGAGGATGAGTGTCCATCCAGGTCACCTAGCGCGCCAGTGACAATAGCTCCCGCTCGGCTAGCGCTAAAACCCGAGCAGCAATGGTGGGAGCCGAAACCCACCAGCGCCGCCTGTTGTCCAGGAGACAAACCACCAAACTCTGACACCGACAAACTTTAAAACTCTGAGCTTTTTAAAACTCAAGCTTTTAAACTCTGGCGTGACAAGCTTTAGAGCCCATGCCCGAAGTGCGCCTACACACACAACTGTGACGGTCAGGGGACTACCGAGCAGAGTGCAAGCTTGCGGGAGTGGCCATTTCGCGGCACTGAGCGGCACGATTAAACCTTAAGGGCAAAACAGTCCGTTAAACTGAGTTGCTGCACAGGGCTGGGGCAGTTAGAATTATTACATCAAGCCATGCTTGGTGGGGAGAGGGGGGGGGGTCTATGAACCAAGTTGTCACTGCAAAAAAATCGGTCAAGCTCATTTTAAGCAGTCTGGATAGTTTCAGCCATGGAGAGAGCCCACAGGAAGTCACGCAACCATTAGAAATGGTCGTACTGGACGAAGAGTGCCCGAAAAATGTTCAAACAGGCGCTCATGCCCACTGATGTACACTGTGTGGACCATGAGTGATGGAGGCACATTGAACACCAGGGCACAGGCAACGGAGAATGTCATGTCGCTGACCCACTCAGCAGGCGGGTGTGTTTCGTGGGCTCGTCAGTCCGTCAGTAATCTGTGCTTGAGTAAAGGTCAACAGTCAGAGTAAAAAAACTCGAGGTCAAAGTCCTTAAAGAAGCTGCTTGGGCATAATGGGCAAGATTTGTTGCATAAGGGCAAATCACTTGGTGGCCAGCTGGCGCGTGGAGTGGTCGTGTTTTGCGACGCTCCCTGGATATCGGCGATCTGAGTGCATCGCGTTGTTAAGGTCTTCAGCTGAGCGGCCAACTTGGTTTGTAGGCGTTTAACTTACTTTTGAAGTTGTTGCTCAAAGAAGATACTGTACGCTTTCGACGACAGACCTGAGCGTCGGTGAGTAATTTGAAAAGCGCACCCGGCACTGTCATGACTGCCGGGGCCCGCCTGAAGCCAGTGAGAGGACACAAAGCCCGGACAAGCCTGGGGTATGGCAAGCACCGCGGACTGGTGGCCGCGGCGATAGTGCGTCTGTCTCTGCGGGTCCTCCTTCGCTGGTGCGGAACTACTGAGCTGTCGCAGGCTTAAGTCCCGTGGGGGCTTGGATTTTATCCCCGCTGTTTGCTGTATTTCTGGCATCTATTGGCCTCCGCGATGACAGGAGACAAGAATCAGATGCTGTCGGCATCGCTGTCTCTGAACCAGAGTTCGGAGCTAGTGGTCTGTTCCCGTCTGTTCTGCAGTACCGACGCAAGCCCATCAAACCTACCTGGTGCAACTGGATTCTGGCGAGCTTCCTTCTCTCTGGAGATGTGGAAGTGAACCCAGGGCCGGCGCACAGGCTGAGAACGCTGCGAGTGTTTTGCCAGAACGTCTGCAGCTTGAAGAACAAGTTATGCACCTTGCGCTCTCGCTGTGGCCAGCTAGCTGGCTTCGATGTTGTCGGTCTGACCGAGACATGGGTCGGATCACGTGTGCTGGACTCTGAGCTGCAGCTGGGCCTCTCGGACCACGTCTGGTTCCGGAAGGACGGGAACGGCAGAGGAGGAGACGTTGCTTGCACAGTGAATACAAGCCTGTCACCAGACCTGGAGCCCGACTGCGAGTTGCTGGCGATCCAGTTGGGAACCATCTACCCTATCATCATGGCTGTCTGCTACCGTCCGCCAGATGCTGACCGTGATGTAAATTTGATCGCTGCCTTCTTCTAGAGCATTAGCCCCCGCCAGTCTACCGTTTCTCATCGTGGGCGACTTTAACTTACCTGAGATTTGGCGGCAGGGTAATGGCGACTAAGCCACGCTGCCCAGACGCACCGCCAAAGCCGTCAAATTCCTAGATTCTGTCGCTGAGTGTGAAGCGGTGCAATCTGTAACGTCACCAACGCGCGGGGAGAATGTCCTGGACCTCGCCATCTCCTATCGCGGAGCTGCTGCATCTGAGGTCAGCGACGGTGTTTTCAACTCTGACCACCGTATGGTGACGACTCAGTTTTCTGTACAATGTGAGCCGGCCCCCGCCCTTCTCGATCTAAGACTTACAACTACAGACAGACTTCGATGGTCTGCGCACTTCTCTCGGGCTTATTCCTTGGCGTATTGTAAATGATTTAAGTGTTGATGATGCTGTCCATCTATTCTATGGTCTTGTATTCGCCCCCACTGCAGACTTCATACTTGCTGTTGAGCTCCGAAAGAAATTTCCTCTATGGTTCGAGCGGTCCGTTCGAGACTTGCTGCGTGCCAAGGAGATGGCTCACAGACATAAGAAAGCGCTTCCGACCGCCGAAAATATTGCTAGGCACCTTACTGCTTGACCGACTTCAAAACAGCAGCTGATGCTAAATATCGCGAGTGTTTGTTGGGTCTAGTGCGAAACTTTAAGAGCAACCCAAAACGTTACTGGTCCTTTGACCAGGCCTTGAAGTCATCAGCGCACTTATCTCCCGCTCTTGGGGATGTGTACAAGGGTGATGAGAAGCGTACCAACTGTCTCAATGTGTGTTTTGCTCGTAAGTTCTGTGACCCTGACGTTCGTATATTGCCTGACCCACCTTTGCTCGATGCGCCTGGATTAGACGGCTTTACCGTACCGCATGGTCGTGTAGCACACTTATTACGTAATATCACTGCACACAAGGCCTGTGGTCCCGACGGGCTCAGTGCCCGGATTCTCAGGGAATGTGCTGAGGAGCTAGCTATTCCGTTAGAAATAATATGCCTGCTTCCTCTAAACTCTGACGTCTTCCCTGCCATGCGTGATGAATGTGATGCCGGCGCATAAGAAGGGGTACAAAAAGCTGCCTGAAAATTACAGACCTGTGTCGTTGATTCCTATCTGCTCAAAAATATTGGAGAAAATTGTGAGCTATAGCCTATGCCAGGTTTGTCTGCCCGCCCCTCCCTCATCCCAGCACGGATTCCTTCCAAAGTGCTCTTGCATCACAAACCTTTCATGTTTTCTTGAACTCTGCTGGACATCTATCTCAAAAGGTAAACAAACATGCAGTTTACACCGGTTACTCTTCAGCATTCACCAGCGTGGATCACCTTCTTCTGCTACACAAGCTTCGCTCTTCTTTTTGCACTACTGGCCGCTCGTACACCTGGCTGGAGTTGTACCTCAGCAATCGTTCACAACGGGTAGTGCTGAACGGCAAACAGTCTGACTGGATTCCAGTGCAATCTGGTGTGCCGGAAGGCAGCATTCTAGGACCGTTGCTGTTCGCCTGCTTTCTAGGTGATGTTCCTGACTAAATCAAGAGTGAGTGCCTGATGTACGCTGATGATATGACAATTTATCGCCGAATCGAAAACGTTGCAGATTGTATTACACTTCAGGCGGATTTGGATCGCCTCTGTGAATGGTCCAAAAACTGGGGACTGAAATTGAACCCAGCTATGTGCAATACCATCTCATTCACCATCCGCACGTCACCTGTTCACTACTCATACGCACTAGGCGGCCACCGCCTGGATAGCTGCCAACAGATTCGCGACTTTCGCGTCTTGCTGGACACCAAACTCACCTTTGCCAATCACATAGATTTAGCTGTGTCAAAAGAAAATGGGATGCTGGGCATTTTCATGCGAAGCGTGCAAATGCCGTCGTGCCCTCGTCAGGCGCGGTTCAATCACAAGGCTTTGCCTTGTGCCTTCAACGCTCATGTGAGACCATTGATAGAGTACGGTGGCATTATTTGGAACGGTGCCGTCGTTTCCCATCTCGCCCAGTTCGAAATAATACAACACCGCTTTCTCATATGGTTGGGTTCGAGCAGCCAGTCTCGGTGTCCTCCACTGGATTATGAGCATGTTCTCGCTTTCTTCAAAAGATCATCTATCAAGGCATGCTTCACTCCGTCTGTCATCGTATTTCTGTACAACGTACTTCATCACAGGCTTGACTGCGCTCACCTGGCATCAATTTTCAGTCTGGCTACACCCGTCCGGTGCTCTCGGCACATCAGCCTTTTTCATCAGCCATTTGCAAGGGTCAACACTGCTAAAAATGGATTTGTGGCACGACTGCCCGCTGTCTGCAATCAACTTTTGCGGTATTTTCCTTCAACCAACTTTTCCATCCAGCAAAATCATTCCGATCTGATTTGTTAAGGTTCGCCGGCACACGTGGAACATTTTCTTGATGACTTGATACGCGGCTGTGTATAATGTGTATGTGTGTGAGCGCGTATGAGTATTGGTTAGGTTTTTTTGTCTGTGCGCGTATCGTATATCTATTGTTCTTAAAATTGGTCTGCTCGGGCTTTTACCTGTGGAATGCTTATGTCCTAAATAAACAAATAAGCAAGCATATGAAGACGCCCCAACAGCAAATCCCTTTGGTCGGTTTAACGGATGAGTGTCGGATGTTCTGTCTGCATGGCCACAGTGCGCGCGCGGTGGTGGATCACATTAAAGGGTAGGGGTACGAGACACGGGAACAACGGGCGGGCGAGCGTCACAATGTCGCTGGAAACTTGACGTGTATTTGCTGACACGAATACCACTGTAAGCGGGTTTAAGTATGATGAAGCCTTACTAAACCCGGGTTTAAGTATGCTTCTACAAACGGTGCTTGGCATGTGTCGGCGGCCCCGAGATCGCTGACGGAGTCTGCCTGCGCTTCCAGTTTCTACCTGTTCCACCCTCTCTGCTACGGGATGTCGGGACCGCGGCCGAAGGACGGCACGAACAGCACCTACTACCATCTGTGGTGGCAGAAGAGCTGGGACTTCTGAGCGACCTGGCAGTGCGCCGTCCGGAGGCCGTTGGGACTGCACCGCACCCGTCCGAACCGCAATGCCAACTCCTGCATGCAGATGGCTGCTCAGAATTCAGACCTCGGTCTACGGTGGATGGGTCTGCTCAGACGACACTGCGAGTTATTGGCGCGGCGCTAGCCAGACAAATGCGTCGCAGCACTGTGACACGTCGGGTGCCCGTTGCGGGCTCGGCACCGTCTCTGTCCTACCGCCGAGCGGCTGTCGGCTGCGGGCCCGGCACCGTCTCTGCCCTACCGCCGAGCGGCTGTCCGCTGCGGGCCCGGCACCGTCTCTGCCCTACCGCCGAGCGGCTTTCCGCTGCGGGCCCGGCACCGTCTCTGCCCTACCGCCGAGCGGCTGTCCGCTGCGGGCCCGGCACCGTCTCTACCCTACCGCCGAGCGGCTGTCCGCTGCGGGCCCGGCACCGTCTCTGCCCTACCGCCGAGCGGGTGTCCGCTGCGGGCCCGGCACCGTCTCTGCCCTACCGCCGAGCGGCTGTCCGCTACGGGCCCGGCACCGTCTCTGTCCTACCGCCGAGCGGGTGACCGTTGCGGGCCCGGCACCGTCTCTGCCCTACTGCCGAGCGGGTGACCGTTGTGGGCCCGGCACCGTCTCTGCCCTACCGCCGAGCGGGTGACCGTTGCGGGCCCGGCACCGTCTCTGCCCTACCACCGAGCGGTTGTCCGCTGCGGGCTCGGCACAGGCTCTGCCCTGCCGCCGAGCCTGCCTAGTCTGCTGCGCTGTCACCCGCTCGGCACGGCCCGCTGCCGCTCGGCCACCGCCAGTACCGCCCGGCACGCTGCGTTGCCGCCCGGCCGCCGCCCGTACCCGCTCGGCACGGTCGGCTGCCGGTCGGCTGCCGCCCGTACTCGCTCGGCACGCTGCGTTGCCGCTCGGCCGCCGCCCGTACTCGCTCGGCACGGTCGGCTGCCGCTCGGCTGCCGCCCGTACCCGCCCGGCACGCTGCGCTGCCGCTCGGCCGCTGCCCGTGCCGGGCGCCGCTGCTCGGCGCTCTCTCCACAGCCGCACCACCGCGACCCGGCGGCCAGCCGGACACACCGGTGCTGGTGACGTCACGACCAGCACATCGCTCGAATAGGGTAAACAAACACGAGCCCAAAATGAATTGGTTGTTTATTGTTGCCCATTCATTACGTGCAAGTGTGATCCTTGTGGCGTGCCTTGTTAAGCTTCACGATGACGCAATCTCTCTACTGACCGTAGTATTTCAAACACAGACCGTGGTACCACGTTGTTAAACATTTTTACGTAATCACACACGCTCGACAGTCTGCATCGGTGATACTGCGCGTGCCATATGCAAGTTTGCACTGATGCAATGGAGCCATTCGTCACGTGTGTTTGTGAGTAATTTTATGAGTTTCGCCTCTATGTATGTCTGTGCGCGCGCATGTTGGACTGAATACCCACGGCTGAATTGCATTGAATACAGCACTGGTAGCGGCATAAGATATGCGACATTTCTGACGACTTAAATGAAGTACCAGCACGTGGCAGATCCCCGCCGCCAAATACTGCGAGACTGGTGCCGACGTAACCACTTGGTGCCACGAGACTGGTGCCAGTCGGGAGCTGCCCGGGCTGGAGCTGTACTCCACCGGTTCCTTGAGGGATTATCTGCGGTAACTCAAAAGATTTGAGAGCATTTTGCGTGCATCTTACTGCAAGAACACATGTTTCGTTTGGCACAGTCCCCGAGAACGGCAGATTCCTTCCGTCTTTTCCGAGCGTCATGCCTTGTTCCAGCTGTCCTCCTGCGGCCGCGTCAGCCGTCTGTGGCCGGTCTCACACCTCCTGCATGCTTGTGACGTCCCCCGGGGCTGACCATCGGGACCGACGCGGCACGTCTTCGCGAGTCGTCAGCGTAACGAACTGGCGTGGCACCATCACCGCCGACCAGCACATCGCCGGCAAACAAACTGCCGCTGGTCTGGCGCGAGCGACCCTCTGGGGAGCAGTGAACGAACCGCTCCACGGACGCGGGGCAGGTGCCAAAGACGCGGCCAATTCTGCCGCCACTTAGCGAATGCACATGTCTGAATATAGCATTGCTCTGTCTGGACACGGTGCCCCAATCACCTGAATACCAGACCCGTGCCGAGCATGGCCTGCCTGACCGGCTGACGGCGCCCGGGCGAGGCCACCTGAGTTATTCAGAGAGCGATAAGGCCGGCAGTGCATCGCTAACGCCCCTCAGATGTCCGTCATTAGTCAGCGGCCGTCCGGGATGTGCTAGCACCGCAGCTACGCAGGCCTCATCGCGGCAACCCTCTGAAGGCGTGTCGAGCCTTAGACCTCATCGCGGCGGCCTCCTGATGGCATGCCGGGCCTCAGGCCTCATCGCACAGGCCTCCTGATGGCGTGCCGGGCCTCAGGCCTCATCACGGCGGCCCACTGAAGGCGTGCCGGGCCTCAGGCCTCATCACGGCGGGCCCACTGAAGTGCGGTTGCGGGCCTCAGGCACTCATCACGGCGGCCCCTCTGATAGCGTGCCGGGCCTCAGGCCTCATCGCACAGGCCTCCTGATGGCGTGCCGGGCCTCAGGCCTCATCACGGCGGCCCACTGAAGGCGTGCCGGGCCTCAGGCCTCATCACGGCGGCCCACTGAAGGCGTGCCGGGCCTCAGGCCTCATCGCGGCGGCCCACTGAAGGCGTGCCGGGCCTCAGACCTCATCGCGGTGGCCTTCTGAAGGTGTGTGCGGGCCTCAGGCCTCATCGCGGCGGTCTCTGAAGGTGTGCCGGGCCTCAGGCCTCATCACGGCGGCCCACTGAAGGCGTGCCGGGCCTCAGGCCTCATCACGGCGGCCCACTGAAGGCGTGCCGGGCCTCAGGCCTCATCAGCGGCGGTCTCTGAAGGTGTTCCGGGCCTCAGGCCTCATCGCGGTGGCCTTCTGAAGGTGTGCCGGGCACCTCAGGCCTCATCGCGGCGGTCTTCTGAGGTGTGCCGGGCCTCAGGCCTCAGGCCTCATCGCGGCGGCCCTCTGAATGCGTGCCGGGCTCAGACCTCATCGCGGCGGTGGCCTTCTGAAGGTGCCGGGCCTCAGGCCTCATCACGGCGGCCCACTGAGGCGTGCGGGCCTCAGGCCTCCGCGGCAGCCCTCTGAAGGCGTGTCGGGCCTCAGACCTCATCGCGGCGGCCTTCTGAATGTGCCGGGCCTCAGGCCTCATCGCGGCGGCCCTCTGAAGGCGTGCCGGGCCTCAGGCCTCATCGCGGCGGCCCTCTGAATGCGTGCCGGGCTTCAGGCCTCATCGCGGCGGTGGCCTTCTGAAGGTGTGCCGGGCCTCAGGCCTCATCGCGGCGGCGGCCCTCTAAAGGCGTGTCGGGCCTCAGGCCTCATCGCGGCGGCCCTTTGAAGCTCCGCTGCGCCTGTCGGGCAGGCGACTTGGCCAGGCCTCTTGAGAGCCCGTCGGCATTCCAAGAAGCACGTGTAGCATAAGAGAAATAAAGCTATCGTCAGAAGGCTCTCGTCGGTGGAGGGCCTGTGTTACCAAATGTCATAACACCCCGGAAAAGCTCAACACCTCCTTACATTGAAAGAATGGCCAGCTAACAAGTACTCTTCACTGATGTGAGGGCGGAATCAATAAATGAAACGAAAAGAGGATACGACCCTGTATCCCGCATCACTACCAGCAAGCGTGCCTGTGCGCTTCAATAATTACAGCCGATTCTGGTATTCAGTGTTCAAGTGCTCTGCGCTTCCCAAGGGCGCATGAACAGATAATATTTTACAACATAGCCCATAATCATTTCAGCCTAGTCGAATCATTGGATGGCATTATTGACAGAAGGCGAAGGAGGTTGGTAAAGGAGGAATGGACAGAAGGAGGAGGTCCTCCTCCACACACCAGTGTGCGGTGGGGGGGGGGGGGGGGGGCGCACAAATATTCTTGATTCAGCCCCCGCTCTGCATCCCTATACGGCAAATGTTGAGCTTCCTCGAAGGCGCAGGAGCTGGCCTCCTATTTGTACAGCACGAACCGTAACCCATGTGTCACATTTTTGCATACTGCGAAGCAGACACGCGAGGTACAGAGCACACTGCGCAACTCGCGTGCTCCTCAGATGCTCCGTACCTCACGAAATCTGCTACACTGTAAAACCCGCGGCATCAGTTGCAAGCAGCGCCAAAGCGCGACCAAAACAACGATGGGCTTAACAGCGTATGCCTGGCACCCCTCGGACCGAGCCCTGAAAACAAAGGTCAGAAGCACACCGCCCGAACGGTTATGAACACAATCTAGCGGCAGACCCCGTCGGTGTTGCCCGCTTTGGCTGCCGGCCCTTCTAATGTGGCCTGCCTGCACGAACAACTCACAGTCATAAAATATAGTTGGTGTATTCATAGGTACTTGGTTTACATAAGTTATCACATGATGCACCACGCAGAACCATTCGACCGATATATATATATATATATATATATATATATATATATATATATATATATATATATGCATGTATTTCCAACAGCGGAATACACGCGGCCTGCTGAACCCACAGAGCTGATCCGTGATCAAGCCCCCCTCTGCATTCCCCTTCCCTTCAGAAACTGTCCCTCGCATAGAGCCCTGCGGGGAACAGTCGTTCGGCATCAACGCAGGAGATAGCGAACACGAGTTACCTGAATCGACAGTTCCAGCGAAGGCCCCACGAGGGCGGACAGCCGACAGAGACACGTGGCGGAGGATCAGCTGACCAACTTCATAACGCCACCCGCCACGGGACAGTAATCCAAGATCAATAATTCTCTGTAGCTCCCCGAAAGAAGCCGAACAACTGTGATCCATCCCATTCCACTTTTGAAAAAAAGACGTGATCCGAAGCTCCACAACACTCAGGTCACAGCCCATAGAGCTCAAACCGTGCCATGACCTGACAGTCCACGTCTAACGTGCGTATGGCACACCGCCGATGGAGTGCCACTGTGAGAGGAGACAGTAACAGGAGTACACCTACAATACAATTCGCCGATATTTCTACGATACAACTGATCCGATATCCTCCATCTAGCGACCCGAGACACGATTCGTCCAGTATCCTTCCTACTATCAGCTGATTACAAGGCACGGCGGTGCAGTGTGTGTACGTATCCGGCAGAGGAGGGGGGGGGGGGGGGGGGGAGCGGCCCTATGAGCGTGGAAGCGGCACCGCCCGCCGGCCGGTTCGAGCCGAGCCGGCGGCGAACCACCGGAGCGGCTGGCCGGCCCCTGGGGCCACTACCAGCCGCCCGACAGCGGGTCCCGCTCGGCAGGCCTCAACAGCGGCCGCGCCGCAGCTCCTGCAGCGGCGCCTACCGGCGACGGGACGCCACCTGCAGAACACAGACAACGACCTTAGCACCGGGTCTGCAAAACACGCCAAATGAAATGTGAACAGGATTAAAGTATTTTTACGACCGCGCCATCAGGCTATGACGGATCGCAGTACTTTGTTACAAATCCAAAGTAACTCATGCTCAAAAAGGCTACATTGTTACAAACCAACAGCAACTCATGCTCAACAAGGCTACAATCTATTTCAAACACCGACGAACGATTAAACTCCGTGTCCATTGCATGGCCCTGCAATCAACGCTTCCTCGCCCCTCCCCACTCACATCCAACCGGATCATCAGCCCAGCTGCGGACGGCAGGCGCCGGCAGCCCGACCCGTGTGCGCCGGCGGCGGGTCACCCGACTGACCTGCAGGGCGCACGGCCGCAGCGGCCGGCGGCTTCGGCGCCGTCCGCTGGAACATGTCGTCGTCGTCGCTGTCCGAGAACAGGCCGCCGGTAGGCCGCGGCACCGCCTTCGCCACGGCCGGGGGGCTGGACGTGCGTCCGCCAGCTGGCTGCGGCGGCGGTTGGCCGGCCGGCGGGCCCGCGCCGGCCGGTGGCGCTCGCGCCGCCACCGACGTCGCTCCGAACAGATTGGCGTCGTCGTCGTCGTCCGAGAAGAGGCTGCTGGGGGCGGGTCTGGCGCGAGCGCGAGCCGACGGTACGCGCGCTGGCCCGGCGGACGCGCACGCCGCCGCCGCCTCCCAGTCGGCCGCCGTCCGCCCGTTGGCGCTGGGCGCGTTCCGGCTGTTACCGAACAGGTCGTCGTCGTCGTCGCTGGCGGCCGGCGGCGCGGCGACAGCGGCCTTGCCCGGCTTCCCGACCGGGTGGCGGCCGGCACCCCGGCTGCCGCTGCCGTTAGTGGCGGAGGCGGCGGCGGGAGTTGGCGTGCTCCTGACACCGGATGGCGCTTCGGCGCCGGGCCTGGCGGACAGGCTGGTGCCGGAAGACCTGGAGGGGGCTGGAGCCGCGGCTGGCGGTCCGTCGCGGCTGGCTGGTGAATCAAACAGATCCTCCTCGTCACTGTCCGAGCTGAATAAGCTCTTGCTCGTCTTCACTGGCTTGGCCTGCGCTCGGGAGCGCAGGCTGCCTCGCTGCGGCGCGCTATCCGCCGATGTCGTTACGGATGGCGGAGGCGAGGACTTACTCGTAGAAGTTACAGACTTGCTTTGCGCTGGCCCTTTCTTCACAGCTCCAGCGGCGACTGCACCAGGTGGATTGCGTCCTACTTCCCCTGCGTCTTGACTATGTCCAGATGTATTGAGCGAGCCGAACGGCTTTGATAGGGGTGGCGAGGGCTCCTTCACTGGTGTCGCCGGCTCCTTCACTGGCGTCGCCGGCCCCTTCACTGACGTCACCGGCTCCTTCACTGGCGCCGCTGTCTTCTCCACTTGTGTCGCTCGAGGGAAGGAGGGTGTTTCGAACGCATTGGGTCTGGGCCTCACCGTCTGAAACAGGTCCTCCTCATCGCTGTCCGAGTCAAACAGACCTCCGCTGACCTTGGCAGGCCCCGGACCAGCAGCAGGTGCCGACGCTGCGCCCGGGGTCCCCTGGCGGACGGTCGGACCAGGGGCGGTCGGCGCGCCATCGCCCGACGCTGACCTCTCGCTGACCTCTCTCTCTCCCACCGGCGCCTCGCCGGCGCCACTCGCACGTCCGGCCTCCCAAGAGACCTCCAGGCCGCCTAGCGCGTCCCGACCGGCCGCATCGGCACCGTGCCGCGGCGTGGCGCCACCATCAGCGCTCCGCTCCCCACTGGCCGACTGGAGCGCGGCCGGCGGCGGGAGCGCGCTGCCGGGGTCCACCACCGGGCCGTCATCATCACTGTCCAGCTCCCGGAGAGCGGGTCTAGAGGACGGCGGAGGACTGCTAGACTGAGGCGCTGGAGTTCCCACCTGAGGCGTTGGATTGCCAGACTGAGGCAGAGGACTGTCAGTCTGAGGCGCTGGACTGCCAGACTGAGGCAGAGGACTGCTGGACGGAGGCAGAGGACTGCCCGACTGAGGCGTTGGGCTGCCAGACTGAGGCGGACTGACGGAACGAGGCGGAGGACTGACAGACTGGGGTGTTGGAGTGCCCGACTGAGGATGAAGACTGTCAGACTGTGGCGGGTGACTGCCGGACAGAAGCGAAGGACTGTCATATTGAGGCGGAGAACTGCCACACTGCGGCGGAATACTGACAGACTGCGCAGGAGGACTGGCAGATTGAGACGAAATACTGACAGACTGCGCAGGAGGACTGGCAGACTGAGGCGAAATACTGACAGACTGCGCAGGAGGACTGGCAGTCTGCGGCACAGCACTGACGGACTGCGCAGGAGGACTGGCAGTCTGCGGCACAGCACTGACGGACTGCGCAGGACTGGCAGAGGTCGGCGGCGGGGCGACGGCGCCGACCCGACCCACACCGGGCCGACCCGACAGCGGGCGAGCTGCGGGGTGGAACAGGTCCTCGTCGTCACTGTCACTGTCGAACAGAGCGCTGGCCGCCGTCCGGCGAGCGGGCGGCGGGCTCGGCGCCGGCGGCGGCTCGATGTCGGCAGGCGCCGGGCCGCTCCCTGCCGGCGGGGCGGCGGCCGCAGCCCGGCCGCTGTTCCGAGGGCTAACCGCCGACGGAGGCCCGCTGCCCCCACCCGCCGGGTCGGGTTCTGCGGATGGAGCGTCGCTCTCCGCCCGGCCCGCGGCGGCGGCACTCGGCGCCGGCCCAGTCTCATCGCCCGTCGCGCACTCCGGCTCCGGACTGGAGGACGGCGGCTCCTCGACCGCCTGACTCGGAGCCGTCGCGGCAGGCGAGCCCACGTCCGCGTCTCGCCCTGGCGGGACGCTCCCGCAGCCGGGCTCTGGTGGAGGCTGGTCACCGTCCTCCGACCGGCGCCAGCCAGCAGCGCCGGCCACTGCAGGACCAGGCGCTGCCACAGCCGGCTGCGGCACGGCGTCCGTCCCTGCCCGCCTGGAGAACGTCCCGGCGGCGACCCGACGCAGCCTCATCGCCTCCTGGCGCCGCGCTGCCGTCTTCACTGCCTGTTACGAGAACGTCATCTACGCCCTCATCCTGACTCGGCCGGCGCACACGCCGCTGGTCCGCGGCGAGCTCCTCAGCGGTCTCCTCCGGTCCAGTGCTGTGCCGCCCTGTAGCCACGCCGGGCTCACGTCCCGATATCGTGCCGGCGGAGCTCGCGGCGGGCCGCCCGGTCCGCGCGGGCGCCTCGTTAAACAGGTCCTCGTCACTGTCGCTGTCGAACAGCGACACGCCGACCCTGCCGCGGCCCGGCGTGTCAGCCGGCGCCTCGGGTGCCGCCGCTGCCGGGTTCCTGGCGCCGTCCGCCGCGGTCTTGGAGACGGCCGCCGGTGCTGGCTTGGTCGCCGAAGCCGCCGGCTTCGGCTCGGTTGTGGAGACTGCTGGGGTCTTGAAGCCGTCTGTTGGCGTCCTCACGACTGTTGGCGGGGTCTTAGGGTCAAGTAATGGGGTTTCAGCAGCAGGTGCTCGCGTTCCAGAGACGCCTGGTGTCTTGTGGATGGCGGCCGGTGTTTCAGGCACCACTTGGGGATTCTTCGAGAACGCCGCCCGAGTGTTTGAAACATGACCCGAAGTCTCAGGAACGATGTCTGGACTATCTGGGACGGTTATGGCAGCCTCGCCGACAGAGGCCGGCGCTGCCTCCCTGCTGCCATCCGGCACCGCCGGCCGGCCGCCGGGATTGGCGGAGCGCCGCTGTCCGGGCGGCGCCGCTCCGCGCTGCGGCGTGCGCTGCTCGGCGGGGCTCGGCTCCGGCAGGCCGGCGGCGGGCAGCGAGAGCCGACTGGCGCCGGCCGTCTTCCGACTGGGCCTCCGCTTCACTGGGCCTCGCGGCCGCGCCTGCAGCGACACGGCGGCTGCCGTCAGTGGCCGACGGGCGGGCACGGCAGGCCACGAGGTGGGCAGCTCGGAGACGCACCAGGCGCGACGCAGACCGACAGCGACGAAAACAACCAACAACAATGCGTGCCTGCGAAGTGCAGCCAAGTAGCGGACGTGTGTCTGGTCAGTTCTGCACACTGGCCAAACGTCTGCTTGATAAGCGCATCAGAACAATTCACCCTTCCGGTACAAGGCGGCAGCCCTAAATGATAAATAAGGCGTAAACGGATGGTTGCCGCCCATACTGAAGCATAATTTCAATGTAATGATAATGTGAAATAGATAAGTAGACATGGGAAGGTGAGATGCCCACTCTCAAAGCCATTTACCTAATGATGCAATTCCAAACCGTAAGTTGCCATGCAACGCTGAGTATTTCTTTAGCCTGGAAGCAAAGATGGCGCGAGACTTACTGCACAACCATAACACACCCGAGCACGTTACTATACGCCCCGGGGCCAGAGACGGCGCGGCGGCTGCTCCCGGCCGCTGACTGGAAACACGCACCTTGGTGAGGGAGGGCAGGGTGTCCGGCGTCGGCGCTCGCTCCAGGTCAGCCAGGCCGTCCTCCGCGGCGATGGCAGGGCTCGCTCGGCCGACCGGCATCGACACTGGCCGCGGTCGGACGGGTTACAGACGCTCCACACTCGTGCGGAGCCGCAGCCGGCATCGACACTGGCCGCGGTCGGACGGGTTACAGACGCTCCACACTCGTGCGGAGCCGCAGCCGGCATCGACACTGGCCGCGGTCGGACGGGTTACAGACGCTCTACATTCGTGCGGAGCCGTAGCCGGCATCGACACTGGCCGCGGTCGGACGGGTTACAGACGCCCCACACTCGTGCGGAGCCGCACTCATCGCAGCAGCCAGAGCCACAACACTGGCCACTGTCACCGCAAGTGAACTGGTGGCAGAGGAGTGGCTCCCAGCGGCCGAGCGCCTCACAGTATGTAAACGATTTATAAATGAAGCTGCGGCACTCAGAAAATTTTCAACACATATGTCCAACGCAGGCCGGCACAGCGTTGAACGGCCATGCTCACAACGTGGCTGAAGACGAGTACATGCCTATAACCGGCACGTCCCGCCTACCCTGACTATTGTCAAAGCTCCATACTTCAAGTGCGACATCATAGGGGCGGGGTGGGGGGAGGGGGCGGGGGTGCTACCCTCTTCACGATTTCACACGCGACCCGCTGGGGCAAGAATAATAAATCGGGGCCGTCGACGCATGCTGGATTATCCAAGCTTCCAAGTCATGTTGCGGGATTCATTAGGGCGGTCTGTCAGGCTGAGTCAACAGCCATCAAACCCCGAATTCCCGTCCCTCGGGCGCCTCACCGAACCTGCATGGCACTGATGCAAGATAAAGCGTACCACCACTTACGTCGCAGGGGTACAGCGAGGCCTTCTAAGACCATTGAATGGCCCTCGCTTACCATAAACTCGGATATGAATGCACGATGGCAGGAGCGCGTTTTACGGAGCTCATCATCTATTTAAGATTTGGCGTTGGCTAAGGCGTTGGCCGACTTGAGCTTGCCAATGAACGGCCCTTGGCCAGAACCCATTGATGCATTTTCAACACGTTTGAGGGATGATCTAAAATACCATTCTCAAACAGCTCATGTCATCTAAATTCCGAAAGACCCAATTAACGTTACAAGCATTGATGACGTACATTATGCAATCAGACCCAACAAACGCTACCAGCGTTGATGACGTACATAGTGCAACCAACTTCCGTGCTCGACACTACCTGACCGAAAGAGCCTGAGTACACAAGTCCAGTTGCGTTGATGACCGCTGATCACCACCATGTTCGCCGCGCCGGACTTTGATCTGACCAGAGATCGGATCGGGCAAGATCCTCGCGCAGAGACCCGGCACAGCACGCAATTCAAACTTAAAGGTCAAACAGCTTGGAGCAACACTGGCCCAAACTTCAGTACGATGTGCTTAGCTGCTCGGGAGTTACAAACAAACAAATCAGACGAGAGAACATCGAGTCGGGCCAAGTGCAGCTTTCTTCCAACTTCGAACGCATGCGTCCGCGAGCGACAAACTCAAGCAAACCGAAGCTCGCCCGACACTCATACGCCCAGCGCGTACCTGGTCGCTGGGGCGGCCGGGTCTTCGGGCGGACGGTGACGCCGCCCGGCGCCGCTGCCGGGCTCGGGCCGGGACTGGACGGCGGGCTGCTGGCACCGGGCGGGCTGCCGGCCGGCCGCTGGCCGCCGAACAGCGCCACGCTGCCGGCCGGGCCGCGGCGGCCGGCAGACTGCTCCAGCTGCTGCGCGATGGAGGCGGTGAGAGCCGACAGGCCGGCGGACGGCAGGCGGCCCGTTCTCGCCGGACTCGCGCTCGCAGGCGGCTTCTCGTCTCTGACCGGCTCCTCGTCTCCCGCCGAATCCCCAGCTCTAACCGGCCTCTCGCTTCCGGCTGATTTCTCGACCGCCCTGGCAGCGGCAGCGGCCGGTTTCGAGTGTCGCGGCGCCTGCTCCACCGCGCCTGACCTCTGACCGACACCACCAGCTCCCGAGTCGGCCGCCGTTCGTGCGCGGCCGGCCGCAGTCGCCAGGTGGAACAGGTCGTCGTCGTCGCTGTCTTCGGAGGCGGCGATGGTTCGCCCGGGCGCGGTCGCCACGCCCGTCTCCCCGCCCGGGGTGATCGCCGTCTTCGGCGCCACGTCGGCCGCGGAGGCTGCCACGCTCTCAGCGGCAGCGGCGGCTTTGTGTGCCGCACCGACGGTGGAGGCGGCGCCCGCCGCGCGCCCGCTGCCGGCCGTTGGATGGAACAAGTCATCCTCGTCGCTATCCGAGTCGAACAGCCTGGCGCCGGTTGGCTGGGCTCGACTCGGCCCTGGCGCCGCTGTGTTTGGCGCCGCTGCGTCCGGCGCCATCGCCCGACGCTGGCGGACTTCTGCGGCCGACGACGCGGCAGTGTTCGACGCGGCTACCGGGGCAGGCTCTGGAGCTGATGCCGGGGCAGCTGTGGCCGACGCCGGGCCGGCCCTAGCTGTCGGCGCTGAACCCGCGGCGGGCGCTGGTGCTGCCTTCTTGGCTCCGGCCGGCACAGTGGCGAAGAGGTCCTCCTCCGAGCTGGAGGAGAACAGACTCGGCCTCGCCAGCCGTGCTCTCGCGGGCGCGTCCGGCCCGGCCGCGTGCGACGCGGCGCGGACCTCAGCCACGTCAGCGGGCGCTGTCTCACCCACCCGGTCGGCACCGGCTGCCGCCTCGGCGGAGGGGACGGCCGTGTCGGCTCGCCGATCGGGCAGCCCGAGCGCCACCACTCCGTGCCGGGCCGAGACAGACAGCCGCGCCGGCACCGGCTCGACCCCGGCCGCGGCTCGCGGCGCCGGCTGCGGCGCTCCGCCCGACGGCGCGTCGGGCGCCCGCCGGCCGGCCGTCACGAGTGCGAATATGTCGTCGTCCGAATCACTGTCAAACAGGCCCTTGGGCGCGGCGGCCGCCGGCTTCGCCGACTCGGCGGCCGGCTCGCCCCGGGACGACGGCGCGACGGCGGCGGCGCTCGGCGTCGGCTGGAACATGTCCTCGTCGTCGCTGCTGGAGAAGAGCGTGGCAG